TGTCATTCCATAGTATCAATAATAGTAAATAAAAAAAGCTACCACATCTCTGCATTGTCATGTTTGTAAGTTAAATGATTAAAGCATAATTATTATAACATTAGATGCATGTGAATAATGGCTGTAGATGATCTTCAAAATTTAATGTTTGCTCGCTTTTTAGGGGGCCTGGGGGGAGGCGGGGATGGGAGAGGTAAATTCGCGTTGCTTGTAATTTGTCATATACCAGTAATTACCATTTTTTCATAACTACTTATCCAGTATGATTTCTGAATCAATGGCAAGAGACAAAATTAATGACCATTAGATTCATTGTCCGAGATAAAATTTCACAAAGAAAATAAGCCACATCTTGGATCAAACTAGCGACCCCTTGTTTACTAACCTGATGCTCTTCCTATTGTACAGGAGGTACATTTGGCCTTCCATATAAAGCTTTAAAATAGTTTTCATTTGTTAATCAAGACAAAATTTATTACTTTCAGAGTCAGCTTATGGACATGTTTCCCGAGGAAGCTGGAGCGCTGGACCCATCCAAGAGGATCATACCATTTCTGCCGGGGAAGAAGTTCTTTGGGCGCAGCCATATCCGAGAGGTAGCAATCAAACGTATGGCACCAATAGCCGAATATTGTAAGGTATGGGTTATATAAAGTTTTTACACCCCCGCACAACAAAGTTGTAAGGGGGGTATACTGGAATCAGCGTGTCCGTGCGGCCGTCCGTCCGCACTCACAGGAGAGTAATTATGTGGCTAGAGGGACAATAGGTAACTGTTCTTTCTCTTTGATGTCATTCATTCCGTAATGCTTTTATATGGCTATTTTCTTTTGTGTGGCTAAAAAGAACAATAGAGAGAACAAAAGAGTAGCCACATAATTACTGTCCTGTGAGAACTTCCGTCCGGCTGTCCGTCGGTTTTTTCTTGTCCGCCCAATAACTTATGGATTAAGGCAAGGTAGTATAAATTGTGATACTTATTGTATCATCCATCCTGTATCATAATATGTATAGAATTGTATTGTGAGATTAGCATGTCATTACAAACATATTCCTTGAAGACATACTTAAGATACGGTATGGAATTCATACTTAAATGATATCATAATAATGATTTATCCTCCTATAACATGGATAAGGAACATGCATTTCATGTTTTGAATCACTTTTTGATTGTTTCCTCATTTCCTATGTTTCAGTCCATCGTAAGGCTACCAAGAAAGATCTCACAATGTAAAGATGTTATACAATTCTTCGAGCTGGAGCCCGATGATATAAATCCACCGACAGGGTACGTGTCAATGAATATTATTATGATAAAGTATTCCTGTTATCTTTGTACACTTCTGATAGTTTCTATTTTCTTTGTACACTTCTGATAGTTTCTATTTTCTTTGTACACTTTTGATAGTTAATACATAAGCTTATTGTAACACTCTCAAATCCGTTCCTAGAACAAACCAGTACTAAACAATGAGTGTAAAGTTTCTTCCTCACAAAAACAACAGCTTGCCCCTGATGGGGTTTGAACCCACGCAGCCAGCAATCCTTACATTACTAGTCTGACAGGTTGACACTTATCAATCTGTTAGTCTTGGCCTAATATGCCCACCTGTTATATAACTCACATCACTTTTCGGTAAAAGATATTATTAAGAATGAGTGCAGTTTGGAACATGAAATACTTACGAGTGACCTTCAAACCCATTTTTTAGGCTCGAGAACTATACCTCCTTGATATTTGTATCGGGATGTATTGCAGCACTTAAAAAATTAAGTGGTTGCAAGCGTACAAAGTCATTATTGCATTGTATTGTGGTTCAACACTTACTTTTCATAAACTGCTTAACAATGAAAGTATAGGAAATAATGTGTCACCATTATACATATTGAAGTTCGAGGATATTAAGCTATATGCTGCAGAATAATTTGATAAAATTCATGCTCAAGTACTAAGTAACTTTAACCTGGAGAATGATGATGTTGGAAGAAATAATCCTTGAAAGGGAGTGGTGAATCCTGGAAAGTTATATCTAAAACTCCATTTCAAAAAGGAAAGGGACATTTTCTTTATTAAATAAAAAAGAAAAAAAAAGATAATAGCTAAAATAGCCATACTCTGTAATATAACTTCTAAAAATTATTAATGAAATTTAATAAACTATAGTACTTATTGATTCAAACCCTTGATTTTTTAATGCACATCTTATTAAATTAACTTAATTTTAGGTGTAGACTTAAAGTTCTAAGTGATAGTTATAATTACAAGCATACAAGAAGGTCTGATTTCAAATTCAATAAAGTAGATATAATAGTAAAGTTAATTAAGGCAGGTAAATCTTGTTGAAAATCAAATAAATTCAGGTGCTTAGTAGCCTCCCTTGTCTATTTAATGATGTTTTTTTTCTTCAAATACATAAATATCAAATGTGGTATGAAAAAAAGACTTTGGGAAACATAAAAGCATCCAAAGTAAGCTTTAACTGTCAGCCTCATGAGTATGAAGAAAAATAGCTAAGTATAGCATCAAGTGACTTCAGTGATGTACCGGTAGTATAAAAACAACATTACTGATTGATAAACATGGCTTGTCATTAAATACTTGTCCTTTGTTTGCTAATTAATTTATATCAATAAGACAACAACAAAAAAACCTGAGATGTGGTTGACCCGACAGAAATGTTCTTGTCATTGACATAGGCTTGTTTCTTTTTTTCCCAATGTTGTTTTGTTTCTTTTTATTTGCTTTTTATTTTGTTTTTTTATTGCTCATATTGTTTGTTGGAAAAAAGTTATTATTGTACAAAATTTCTATAATTAAAAGATTCAACATAATTAGTTGGTTTTGTGGGCAGTTTTATACATGTATATTGTGTTTGTTGTACATTCTTTTTTATTGGAACTTGTATAATGAAGATGATGTTTAATTTAGGCAGTGATGTTTAATTTAGGCAATGCTGTTTAATTTAGGCAATGCTGTTTAATTTAGGCAATATTGTTTAATTTAGGAAATGCTGCTTAATTTAAGCAATGCTGGAAATGCTGTGTACTTTTATTAAGCCATTACACTGTTTAATTTTTCATGCCCTTTTGACTGCTAGCAGTAAGACCATCATATGATACGTTTTGTCTGGCACATCATGCAGTCTGACTGGGCTACAGGTTTTGCTTTCATATTCATGAAATTCTTGTAATTGCTTATGAACAGTCTAAAATTCAAAACAGGAAATGTGTCATTAAACAAATTTTGCATTATAAGAGGCTATCTATTGAGAAGTTTTAATGCTGTTAAACCCTTCAAGTGTATTACTTATATATCATATGACAGTATACGAGATGTTTGCTGATATTTTATTGTTGTTCATTATAAATTAAAAAGTTGTCTGAATTTTTATTCTGGGCATCTGACATATTTGAAATTATTGATAACCCCAAATCCCTACAACCCAATTCTAAATAAGCCCTCCTACATCCCCCCACAAAAACAAAATGTAATGTAACACTCATAATGCACATAATATTTTAATAAATTCAACCAAACAGAATAGGAAACAACAAAAAAAGCAAAACAAAAAATAGCTTTAATTATTATATAGGACTGGGGGGGGGGGGCATTAAATTGCAATGCAGAATCAATGATGATTACAGAATTATATGCCATCAATGAAAATAAAGATTCAGATCTATGGAGTAAGTTCCATGTAACTGATTTCTCACCCAGTATCAACTCTCCCGATCATGCAATTTAGTATTGATGTAACAGCAGCTGTATTTTCTTAAAGGGGGCGTCTGTGGCCGAGTGGTTAAGGTCGTTGGCTTCAAACCACTTGCCCCTCACCGCTGTGGGTTCGAATCCCGACAGGGACTTTGGATTCTTTCATGTGAGGAAGCTATCCAGCTAGCTTACGGAACGTCGGTGGTTCTACTCAGGTGCTCGTTCGTGCCTGAAATAATGCACGGAAGGGCACCTGAGGTCTTCCTCCACCAGTAAAGCTGGAACGTCGCAATATGACCTATACTGTGTCGATGTGACGTAAAACCATAACAAACAAACAACAATTTTCTCAAAGCAGCATGCCTCCAGATTAATGTAAAATTTCATGTAAATTTCAAAAGAGTTTAAAATTGTAAAATTAAAAGTTAATTTATACCAGCAAATAAGGTTATAAAATTAAGCTAGCATAAGGAAGTTTCAGACAGTGTGTAATATATAAATTGTGTCAAATATAATATATAAATTAAAGATTGCTAGTCGGATAGGGTCAAACTCGGTCAGCTACAAGAAGTTGTTTCCCTGAGCAAGAAACTTAACACTCATTGCTCAGTAACTTGTTGGATACAGGAACGGATCTGAGCTTATAGCTTCCTACATAATAGAACTAAAAATATATTCTGTATAAAATAAATAATTATGGAAAAAAATTAGGTCATACTTCAATAGTTAAGTTGTAGAAATTTATACTTCAGTCTTATAACATCACAGTCCATATAACCATATAACATGACAATTATGTTAACATTACAATCCATATAACATAATTCTTGTATAAAATCTGCTTGAAATGTAAATTTCTATACAAATACCTTTTCATTAATTAATTATTTTTCTAAAGTTTTTGTAAAATTTGTTTTCCCACTCTGGAGGCATGCTGCTTTAGTGTTGCCTGTTTTCACCATGCTTACAAAATTCCCAGTTATGTAATAACAGTTTTACTTATGTTTCTTCATTAACCTAATGAATAAAGCCTGCATGGTAAACCTATTAGTGTAAAGTGAAGTGAAGGGTGAAGAATTTTACATACTCAGATGGTATCACATCACTTTCAATCAATTTATAATGTAGTATGTGAGTGTGTGTTTTTTGTGTGCGAGTTTTACTAACTTCCGATTTGCAACTTCCTTGACTTTGACGGTCTAGGATATATAGTGTCAAATAAGGAAATGTATGATAAAGAGATTTTCGTAGAAAAATATAAGGATTTTCAAATTACATGTAATTAATTGATTGTCTTGATATTGATAATTATATTAATTTAAAGGGTAAACAATAGGAGAATGAACATTGTTTTTGAAGTTTTAAGGAAAAGAAACTGAATTTATAGTAAGGGGATTACAGTTATTAGAAATACTGTAATGTAAGGAATACTAAGGGATATTAAAGGGGAATAAAGTGTTTAGAATAAGAAATAGTAATGTTTAAGAATAAGAAATAGTAAAAGAGAATACAGTGTAAGGAATGAGTGATATTAAAAAGTGAATATACTTAATAATGAATAAATGGTATTAACATAGATTAAAATGTTAGGAATAAGAGATATTTAAAGAGAATACGATGTAAAGAATAAGGGATTTTAGAAGACAATACACTGAATTGAATAAGGGATGTTAATATAGAATACAGTGAAAGGAATAAGAGTTGTTAAAAGACAGTGCAATTAAAGGATAAGGGAATTAAAAGACAGTGTAAGGAATATAACATATTAAAGGAGAATGCACTGAAAGGAATTGGGGATAAAACATAAAGTGTATGGAATAAGGGATTATAGAGAGAAAACAGTATGGAATAAGCCAGGATATTAAAAGAGAATATTGGTTTGAATAAGAAATTTGGGATGTAGAAGGAGAAAACAGTATTGGAATTAAGCGTAACACATAATTGAATAAATTGAAAGAATATATAAAAGAAATCAAGAGATGTCACAACTTAGAAGAAGTATGAAGTCTGTAATGGGTGTTCTGCAAGGGAAATGTAGTCCAAAGTTGGAAAGGTATCATAGTCTAGCATCTATTTTAGAAATGATTGCATTACATAGATATTGATAATTGTTTACCATTAAGACAGCTGTGTAAAAACTGACATTTTGCATTAGCAATGACTTCAGTATAAACAAGCATCTGTGCTTTCAATGAATTTATTTTTGGCAGCTGTGTTGAAATTTGATTTGTTACTTGCATCTTAGATATAAATGTAGGATTTGGTTTATTTAAACTAACATTTGTATTGCCATTGGATATATTACTGGAATCTATGTTGACATTTGATTTACATGTATTATTGGAATCTGTGTCATAAGCATGGCATCTGTGTTGGAATTGGCTTTGTTAGTTGTTACTCACCAGACATCTTTGTTGTCATTTGATTTATTAGGTTCTGACATCTGTGTTGGCATTGAATTTGATGCTGGCATCTTATCACTAGTTGGCAGTGACTATTAAGCATGTGTTGGCTATAGATTTGTTACTGGTATCTGTGTTGGCATTTGATTTGCTACTGGCATATGTGTTGGCATTGGCTTTGTTACTGGTATTTGTGTTGGCAATAGATTTGTTACTGGCATCTGTGTTGGCATTGGCTTTGTTACTGGTATCTGTGTTGGCATTCAAATTACTACTGGCATCTGTGTTGGCCTTGACTTTGTTACTGGCATCTGTGTTGGTATTGGACTGATTGTTGGTATTATTGTGTTGACATTGACTTGAACTCTATTGTGCTTGATTTTTAGACTGAAAGTTGATGTTAGTATTTGCTTGATAGATAGTATTTGCGTTGGCATTGGTTTGAATTTGCTTGATTTCTAGTTTCTGTATTGGTAATGATTTGATTGATAGTATCCATGTTACAGTTCTGGTAAACTCTAGTTTTGGTGTTGGCTATTTCTTGAATAATTCAAATATTTAATCATAGCAGTATCAGACATTTCTGTGCTGAATAATTTCTACTTCCACAGGATGAGTCATTGAAATGTATTTAACTTGAACATCTTGTCATAATTATCTTGTTTTCAAGAGATAATTACTTATGATTAAAGTAAAGCACAATTGATGCACTGCACAGATGGAGTGCACTTTATGTAATGTTTTGTTGATAAAATGAGCAATTTTGTGGTTATATAATTTTATATATATATTGTTGGTATATTGATTTCAATCAGGAAATAAGGTGGGGATAAATGGTTTGTGGTTTAGTTGTCAGCCTCTCAGCCATAAGGTTTTAGGTTTAAACCCTTACTGGGTGATTTATAAAATTTATATTAAATTTCTTCGCATTAATGGCCCAGACATTGCTTTTGTTTTTAGTTCTCAAAAGCTTCATATTGCTGGTGTCCTGTTATAGTTTTCTAAAGTTTACTCATTAGTCTATGCTTGAGCCATCTGTGGCATCTGAAGCTTTTTGGCATAAGTACAGTTATGACGAGTTAGTATTGTTACAAGTATGGAAGTAAAAATTCTTCTTTGTTTCCATTCTGCTACTTTAATGACAAATAATTTCACATTCAACGCTACTTTCTTCAGGTGATAAGCATCTTAAATGTTCTAAAACCATTATGCCATTAAACTGTTGTTTATACTCTTTCTTAAAAATGAAAAATTTATTTGTTTTTTGAGGCATTAAATTGAGGCATTATATGCCTTTAAAGTTATAATAAATACTAGCTAATGTGGTAACATATAAGTACTTGTTTATTGCTCCGTAACGTAAAATTTGAAGTAGTTAAAATTTAAAGTAGTTAAAAGCAGTTACAAGTAGTTTAAGTGGCTTTGAAAAAATTGAAAAGTTCATTTAAAGTATTTAAAAAAGCATGTTAGGATACAAATGTAGAGTCGCTCATTCAACATTTTAGATTTATAAATAAGAGCATGAAGTTAGAGCATGCATAAAATGAACAATGCTGCTGTACAAAATATATATTTTAGTATTGAAATTACCGTGTAAGTATGTAGTTTATATCTTGATAATTAAACTGTTACACTTAATAAACTTTACGTTAACAATTTACTGAACGATTAACCAGATAATTAACCGTAAGTCTAAGAATTTAAGAGTAAAGCTGCTGTAATTTTATTAAATTTTTAAAGTTATATGCTTCAAATAACAATTAACATGCCGTTGTTTTTTTTTCATGCAATGAACCTTTAACTTTATGATCTCCATTCTGTTTGTTTTGTACAATGTAGTTGAATGGAATGGTTTACAAAGTTGGCTGCTAGAAAGGTTTGAATCCTTTTCAGCAAGTGAAACTTATGAACAAAGGCCAATCTTGTATCATAGACAAACTATGAAGGGACGTCCGTGGCCGAGTGTTTAAGGTAGTTGACTTCAAACCACTTGCCCCTCACTGCTGTGGGTTCGAATCCCAACAGGGACTTTGGATTCTTTCATGTGAGGAAGCTATCCAGCTAGCTTACAGAACGTCAGTGGTTCTACTCAGGTGCCCGTTCATGCCTGAAACAATGCACGGAAGAGCACCTGAGGTCTTTCTCCACCAGTAAAGCTGGAACGTCGCGATATGACCTATACTGTGTCGATGTGATGTAAAACCCAAAAACAAACTATGAACTTTTATAATTGACAAGTGACCTTTGTATCCTTTATTGGGATGTCAGTTTGTTTAATATGATCTTTGATCAGTTTTGAGAGATTTTCAAATAAAGCAGTTACTTAGGCAATAGTAATAATAATAGTAATTTTATTTTGTCAAGAAGATTGCAAAAAGAACATAATTTATAGAATATTGCACAAAACATCTTTGACTTTGTAACTCATGTTAACACAGGTTTAACTCACAGGTGAATGTCGCGTGGCCATGACTTACACTATACCCCCGTTCCCCCTCTACAACCCAAAACCCTTAAACATCATCCAAACATCATAAGTATTGACAAATAAATTTTATGAAAAAAATATTTAGTCATAAAATTTTTTTTTTTCATAAAATTTATTTAATGTTTGGATGATGTTTTAGGGTTTTGGGTTGTAGAGGGGCAATGGGGGTATAGTGTAAGTCATGGCCAAGCAACATTCACCTTAATGGTTTAACTGTACTAATTGTTGAAAGCAGGAAAATTAGAAGTCTATATTTATTTTACAGTTTTTTTCCCCCCATGCTTTTTGTAGTTATATTTATGATACTGCGCAGTAAAAGTTAAATCACAAATTAACATTTGAAAATTGCCATGTTAACAATTTAGTTAATAGTTTAAATACTATACATCTGTACCAATAACTCATGGTCCAATTACACTTACCTCAAACACTAAACCTTGAGCTAAGAGCACTTCCTGTTTGAGTGTTATAAGCTGTTTGTAACCTCTTTACATAAGCTATTTTAATAGACATGCTAATGAGCAATTTAAAAAAAAAATCTAACAAAGAAAACTAAGAAAATTTTTTAGAGATCTATGACTTAGACAGATGTCCACATCAAAATGATAACTAACTAACTGAGCACTGTGTAGAAACGGAATCTGACTGTATCATTTATTAGGAGTCTATGAAATTCAGTGTGTAATGGTTATTATGATTACCTTTTACTTTCAATCACTGTATCATTTATTGCGAGCTGATATAATTGAACTCGAATAAATTTTTTGCGATCACAGGATATAGCTAAGTTTCTTCAAAACATCTCAGGTATAGAGACTTATCAAGGTTTCAGATGTATCACTTTGTTTCCAGATTTTTATACTGCACAACAGCAGGTGTCAAGTGCTGTGTGGCAGCTGTAAAAAGTTGCCCCATACTTCACTTCAGTGTTGTTTCTTTCGGGATCATTGATGCCAGCACTATTGAGTGTTGAGAATTGAGTACTGCTCAAGCCGGTGCTAGTGGGCATGAGGGATGTTGCACTTATTCAGTATTCCTTATGTACAGGCTCATTCAAACCAAGTCTGCATTTTTCATGTAATTTTGTTAAGATTAATGCTTTTGAGGGATCACTTTGTTTCCAGATTTTGATCAAACTGTACAGACGTGCAAACGGCTGCAAGATACTGTTTGCATAAACAAGTCGATGTCGCCACTTGCACCTCAATGGTTAAGTGATGTCTACTCACGTTATACGGAAAATCGTAATAGTGTCAAAATAAGATTTTTTGTATGATTTATTGCTGGTAAATTAATCAAGTTTTTGGTATGTGGTTAGAACATATATGTATATAAGTATATGAACATATTGATTAATTATTGCTTTTTATTAGACATTTTAATTAATGTTTTGTAGGTTCTGCAAAAAATGACTTTGTCAGTTGATTTGAGGCTATGTTATGTACTAATGAAGGAAAGAAAACATGTAAAAAACTGTGAGTTTTACTTGCAGTGTACGTGACTTGATTTTTGTCTTTAGGTCATGGTCAAAATTAATAAATGGAATTAAAATGTTAGTTTAGGGAAAAAATTATATTGCCTTTGTTTTGAATATTGTTATTTACTGTATGTTTTAAGTTTCTTTATCATTAAAATATATAGAAGCCTACCTACCTTTAAAACTTGCATCTATTTTGCATAGCTGTTTGTTTGCGAAACCTTTAATAATTTCCACGTCACTTAAGATTGTAATGATTCAAATTTAGAAATAAGATGTTTTTTGTGGAGATGTTTGTTCTTTGTGGAGATTGTTTGTTCTTTGTGGAGATGTTTTTTTGTGGAGATTGTTTTTTGTTGAGATGGTTTAGTGGAGATTGGTTTTTTGTAGAGATGGTTTTTTGTGGAGATGTTTTGTGGAGTTTGTTTTTTGTGGAGTTTTTTTTGTGGATATTGTTTATTTTGTGGAAATTGTTTTTTCGTGGAGATTGTCTTTTGTGGAGATGGTTTTTATGGAAATTTGTTTTTTGTGGAGATTGTTTATGTGAAGATTGTTTTTTGTGGAATTATTTTTTTGTGGAGTTGTTTTTTTGTGAAGACTTTTTTTTGTGGAGATTGTTTTTTTTGGAGATTGTTTTTTTGTGGAGTTGCTTTTTTGTGAAGTTGCTTTTTTAAGAAGATTGTTTTTTGTTTTTTTGAAAATTGCATTTAATGCTGGTTTTAGGTTAGCTGCAAGTTTAAGGTAGTCACTTCATTAAAATGTATTTAGTAATGCTGGGATTATTAGCACTGATTCAAATAAAGTTTGGATGACATTAAACCAATTTTAACAGTCACTGAAAATTATAGTAAAATAATTATTGTAAACATAATAAAGTAGTTAAGTTAAAAAAAAATTCGAATGTACAGATCTGTTAACACTATGTTAAATGCCAAAACCCAAAAAAAACCCACCAAAAAAGCCTGCATTATATAAAAGTATTAGTATGGACAAAAAATCTATAGGCTTTTAAGTCTACAAACATCATAAATCTACAGAATTTATGAGGATATCTACAGTTTGGGATTCATAAATCTTTACACATGTAGTTTATTTATCTACAGCATTGCCATTAGATTCACAATTTTCATGAATTTACAGAGATCCATATATCTATAAAGTTAAAAAAATTGTTATTTTACAGGATCCATAAATCTATAGGATATACTGAAAAGCTTGGTTAATTTCTTGAGAGAGAAAATATTCATAGCAGTAAAAAAAAAAGATACTTAAAAAATTTCAAATGCAAAATTCGAACCTCTCATATCCATTTGGATTCATCTTACCCCTGGATGACTTCCTGCTATTTTTAGTTACATGTACTAGAAAAAGTGGGAAACAAACCAAGTCTTTCAAAATTTAGAATTTTCAAAGGGTTTTGAATCCCTTACATTAAAATATTATTATCAGAAAAAAACATATTACTTGATATTATCTCATATTTAAAAGAAAAAAACATTTTAACTTGCTCTCTTCTGAAAAAAGTTGTATTAAAACTTCCTTGTTTGAAAGTGATTATAAAATATTCTGCTTTAAATTAAAATTGTAGGTAGGTCATAAATTTTGGTGTTATATTTTACCATGTTATTCATGCTTGTTAATGTTGACACACAACAAAATGACGGTTGATTGCAAAACTGTTGTATAGTCCTTCTTTATTTCATATAAGTTACTGCAGTTTTGCAGTCAACCCCCAACTTGTTTCAAACATATACTATCATTTTAAATACAAATGTTTTTGGTTGAGCTTTTTAAAGTTCCTCTATGCTTTCCACTGATATTGTATATCATGGAAGGAAAAACAATAGAGAAAAAAAGGCTGATTTGGAAACTTCTTTTGATGCATATGTTATCATTTTATTCACAAATGTTTTTTTTATACATCACACTTTCTACTGATATTTTACGGAAGGAAACAATATGGAGGAAAAAAAGATAAATTATACGGCATTTATAATGTCAAACTAAGGAACTAACAAATCAAGTTTTTCCTGACAGTGACAACACAAAACACTTGTTAAATAGAAAAACTGCATCAAGTTCATGATGGTTGTGTCAACATAAGTGGAAGTTTATTCAAGGAAATTAAATGTTTTAATCAAACACTTAGATTAATGTGTTCGGATTTTTTTTTATTATCAGTTTCTGTTTCAAATGAAAGTGGACTAAATGTATAGTGTTTGGGCTCATTACTATGCTTTGTTTCATAGGAGGAAGGCCTCGGTGAAGGCGAAGAAGATTTCACAGCCGAAACCCCTCGAGGTGTATGTTGCAGTGTCGGACTATAAGAAACAAGAGAAAGGGGAGGTCACTCTTAAAGCTGGCATGCTTGTCGAGGTAGTAGAGAAGACAGAAACGGGTGAATATAATTATCATATTTATATAGATTCTACTTTTCCAAAAAAAAAAGAGAGGATTTTATAACAAAACTGTAACATATAAAAGATAGAATTTTGTGGTTAAGAACAAAGGATTTTTTTATACCGGTGCAGATAAATTTTACAATGGAATGTTTTGCATAAACATTTTTGTTGAATCTTCAAATCAGGCCTGTTATTATTAAAACATGATAATAGATGTTATGCAGAACTTCGTAGGGTTTGACTTTCCCCATCTGGACAATGTTGTATTGTTATAGCTTTACAATGCACTACCAATCACAATAGAGTTACCAATTATTATCAATTTATCTACTGAGTTGTAACTTTAAATTTTGTATATACCATGATGATGGGATAAGATGGGAAAAACCTACTTTTGACAATTTCCAGAATATCTCTTTTGCAAAGTTAAAATATTTGTTCAAAGCTTTACCTTTTAATACCATGACCACTTATTGGTTGTAATAAGTTTATAGAGAATAACTTTGTTTTTAATACTGTTTGCATTGATTTTGATATATAATTAAAAAGGAATTCACAGGGGACCCAGTATAGAACAATTCTGATGTCTGGTTTCCTATCATGTTTTACAGGTTGGTGGTTTGTTAATGTAGAGGATGAGCAAGGCTGGGTACCAAGCACTTGCCTAGAGAGAGAAGATGGTTTGAAGGAGGATTCCACTGTAAAATTTGCCCCAGGAGAAGGTTAGTACATTTAATTATTAAAATACTGTACTTATAGGTAATACTTTAATTACCCAAATGCTCAAAATGACCAGAATAGCTTAATAGTCGAAATATGCTTATAATTTAACCATTTAAATAGCCAAACTTTTTGACAATCATAAAATTTTAATTACCTAAATTCCCTTATAAAAATATAAAAGTAACACTTTAATTACCAAATATCCTGATTCCTTGATTAGTTTAACAACCAAATACACTAAATACACTTAATTAAATAACCAAAACACTCAAATTACCAGAACTCTTTTATTACCAAAACTACTCTAGTGATTGTACATGTAGCACAAAAAACCAAAACAATCTTAAACAAACAAAAAGCTTGAAAAGTAATCAAACCTTCTGATAATAATATTCTGATGATAAAGTAATTATTGAAAATCACTGAATATTCTTGGAATATCACTGAATATTCTTGGAATATCACTGAATATTTTTGGACTATCACTGAATATTCATGGTATATCACTGAATATTCATGGATTATCACTGAATATTCATGGTTTATCACTGAATATTCATGGTATATCACTGAATATTCATGATATAAGTGTTCTCCATACATCCACAGAAATTATTCGCTTCAAACTTTGCACATGTATTTTGGGTCATAATTATAGGTATCTGACCAAAACCTAGGTTTTATCTTAGATTTCCCCCCCCCCCACTTAGGGAGGAGGGAGGATATGTCCCTAATTAGAGAGAGGGTGGATATAGATTTGCCCTTGTAAATCTGTCCTGCTGTCAGTCCGTAAACCTGACAAAACAGTGAAATATTGGATCACCTTTCTAGTAAATCAATGACCGAATGAATGAATTAATAAATTTTTGCATGGCTCAAGTTGTTTAACTATCAAATACCGATTCTTAGTCCAGTATGCTTTTCTTTGACCATTCATGTTTGTTAGGGATATAGATAAATTGAGCTGTTTTGGATTTTGTCGAAGTTTGAAAAGTGAAATCAACTTCTGTGTTATGTAAAGAAGATAATTATTGTTTCCATTAAGTTAATTGTTTCCCAAAGAATGTCATTGAAGGGTTAAATGGACAAAATGTCAGTTTTTATGAATTTTGGTAATTATTAATTTCGTTTGCTTCTTTAGAGTATGATTGAGCAATGATGATTATATTTTCAGAGGAACAGTATTTGTGTACGGAGGAATTTAGAGCGGAAGGTGAAGATGAAATATCCATGGAAAGAGGAGCAGTTGTTGATGTGATAGAGAAGAATCTGGAAGGCTGGTGGCTTGTAAGGTAGATTGATTTTTTGTTGTTGTTTTTTTTTTCAACTTATTTATTTTCAACATGGCAACTTTCAATCTTCATAATTGGTAGAGTATGTCAATCTCCCCCTCCAAAATCTAGCTCTTGAGTAGGACTTCAGATGACTGTCAGTAAGGTTACTGGATACTTATACTTGTCTTGTAATATAATGTCATGATGGGATTTGAATCAACAGTTTATAAGAATTTACTGACAGACTTTTTGATTGTAAAAATGAAAATGTAAAGCTTATTTTGCAGAGCGTTGCATTTTTGTAGGCTTTGAGTACTGAGTATGTGGTAATTCTGGGAATTAAATCCAGGGTTAAATTAATTTGAAATTATAAAAATAGTTGAACAATTAAAAATTAAGTTAATTTATCAGAATTGATGCACTGTGGGATTTGGATATTGCCTTCATTTTCTGAGGTCATAGTTGTCAATAGAGGACAAGGAAGTTTTACTGACAGATACAAGTGTTGTGAACTAATAAGGATAATTGGGAAGTCGGGAAATGTTGGGTTTTTTTTCCCGAGCTAATCCAAGGATACAAAAAAAAAAACTTACAGATACAGCTTGGTAAATATATTGGTATTTATCGCATCACGCTGCTCACTCTTTTGAAAATGGTAGTGCACTGTGAAGCTTTAATGATTAAAGTTTGTATGAACCTGTAGATTAGGTGGTAAAAAGCTATATTTCCTGATTTCCCTATATTATTTAGTTCCCTATAACATCTAGTTCCCTATAACATCTATTAGCATCTAATGCATCACCTTAGTGCAGTAATAGGTTAACTCGCATTAAATTATCTAAGAATTTTACCCATTACTGCCCTAAGTAAACAAATGTTATTTATACATTCAGGTACAATGGGCAAGAAGGCTATGTCCCTGCAACATTCCTGCTGAAAACTGAGTCAGTGAAAGTTGTCAAGAAAAATAAACACAATAAAGAGAAAAATGACAAAGTGAAAAATGACCGATTAAGAATTGATACAGTGAAAAATGAAGAGCCAATGAATAACAGGATGACAAGTGGACCGGAGATTGTTAAATCTTTAATGGATATCAGTGATTTGCTCAAGGTTTGTTTTGTATAAAAGATAGAGTTCCTAATTTTTACAATATTTACCTCCCTTGCCAAATGTGGTGGTAATTTTGGTCTATATTCTATATAATAAAATTGACAAAATATGGGAAAACCTTTCAAAATGGCAGACAAGGGAGGTAAAAATTGCTGCTAGTATATGAAAACCAAATTTTTATGGACCAGGTGGAAGCATGTTGTTTTTGTCCTACCTATTTTGACTCTGTTGGAATATTTTCTGTTCATTTTGATGCATTGTTAATATTGACAATAACAGTTACAAATTTTATTAACTAATTTAGCAAAAAGGATTTCATATTCTGTTCAGTGTCCTGTTAAGAGAATTGTTCTTTCAATAAAGTACATTTTTTTTGCTCATTAAAAAAAGAGTACATAGTTTATATATACATATAAACCTCATTTTGTTTTCTCAAAAAATGAAGAAAAAAAATGAAGTTAAAAACAAAAACCTCTACTTACTTAAGTCCATCTTTTTACTGCTTTTACTAGAAAAGTGTAAAGTTTGTATGTCCTATAGCCTTGTTTATTGCAATCAAAGAATTCATTTAGAAATCTATATCTACAGGAAGATTCCGAGACACCTTCCACTCTAGTTACACAGCCTTCGGTTTCACAAGTTGAGAGTGACGATGATATATTCGATGATGACGACGACGATGATTACATCGTGCCACAAGAAGAAGAAAATATCTACAGCGTTCAGGAACTGAGTAAGATTCTCCGAGAAGACAAGAAAGGATGCGCGGAAACTAATAAAGTATATGAAAGTATACAGAATATGAAATCCCGATCGTTAAAGAGATACGGATCTACCCGGCCTCCTCCGAGACCTTCAATAAAGGTCAGACATTGATTCATGATATCGTCTTGCTTTTTTGCAATTTACCAATCTTTTTTAACCACATAACTGTAAGTGTAAGGATTGCGGGTTTGAGCCCTTTTTGAGGTCACAACCACATGTTCTCATTTGACACCAGTACTGGTTCGTTCCAGGACGCAGACTTGAATGTTGTTCAAACAAGCTCTAAGCGTTCATCATGATCAAGCTAATATAGACAAGCTTCAAGCTGTCATCACGACGATAAGTCTAAAATAAAAATGTTGAACTCTTAGCCTGGTAAGGGGAGAAGATTCTACCCATGCAACCAGTGCAAGTTCTGCCATCTGACCATGACCTGCACTGAATAATGATGAAAGGGTTTTCTCAAGATTGAAAAGTGGACTAAGTCATGTATGGTATTTGTTGAATGGAAGCTAAGTAATATCTAAAGATTTTTTTTTAGATTCTTGGTATTGATAAGTAATATATTTATTATATATATTTTGATTGTCTATTAAGTATATCTTTCATATATAATTTTGATAGTCTGTTTAGTTATAAGGATAATTTATCATGCTTTTTACACTGACATAATTATTTAATCACATTGTTAAGTTTTTTACATGTGTAAAACATGATTATTTATACAACACAATAATTTTCACAATAGCTCTTAAATGACTTATTTAGATGAGTCATAACATGAAATCCTTTTATACAAATTTCTTTTTCAAGTGCTTTCATGTCATAAACCTGTGACTTATAATAATGTACTATATCCTGGCAAAGGGTTCACACAGTACTTTAAGATCAGGATCAAAATTTATATATTTAACTTAAGGAATTTCACCTTTGTGTTATATCCTGAGTGTACTTAAGTTACATTAATATATATAATAATGTTAATATAGAATTCACAGTACGTTCCCCGCCCCCTAATTAAACCCCCCCCCCTTACACACACACACACACCCAATTTCAAACATTTGTATAATCTTGATATGCTCTTCAAAGAAGTTATTTGTAAAATCTTTCAAATAGAATTATTATAACTTAAAAAGCTTAAACTTATGTTTACAATTTTTTGTGTTTCAGCCAAGTCCGCTAGGTTTTAATACACCAACCACCAAGAAACCTCCACTAGTACATTCTGAGTCATTCTGTACAGATTACGTAACCATAGCAGCATTTTCTGATGTTGTTGGGGACGGTATCAGTTTCCAGGAAGGACAAATTGTCAAGGTATGTGTCATGAATAGGCTTACTCCAGAATTACGTATATTTTGGGTTTTTCCCAGCTAATCCTGCGGTACAAACAAACTTCATAATTACAGCTTCGAAAATAAGGGCAAAAGATTGGCATAGGGAAGCTATAACAGTAAAAGTTTGTTTGTACTGGGGGATTAGCTTTAAAAAACCCACATTTGCCTAGTTCCAGATAACATCTATTGCAATCATTATTTTTGTAGACGATTAGCTATGCTCAAGTCAGAAAAAGAAATAAATGTTCTGTTCTGTCCTGTCCTGTTCATGAATTATTTTACTAGATTATTGAGCTATGTTAATCTCTCTTGTTATCATAGTTCTGAGTCAATCACAAGCTGTATGTAAGCACTTATATGAGTAGTCTGCCTATGGCAATGTGATTCTACCCATCCGACCAGTACTTACCAAGATTTTAGTTAAAGTGTTAAGTTAAATGAACAGAATGTACCTTATCAATGGCAATGGTCTAGGCAAACAATTAAAAAATTAATAACAATTGTTTATTTAACAGAGTGATACTAATTTAATAATTAATAATAAGTAGACTGAGCAGCATTGAAATGTGAACTGTTCTATACATTAGATTAACTTTCCTTAAAGTGGTTTGGTCTACAATGGACATATGTTTTTCATAAGTACATTATTTCAAATATTGATAAAAACAATAAATTGTATCATTTTGATATTCTTATAAAAATATAACCTTTGAAAAAAATGGTTATGTATAATGTTATAAAGTTCTAAGTGATTTAGTGATGAATAATAATATTTTGCTCTAGAACATTTTATTAACTGTAATATAAATATATGTTATTTCTGATAAAGAATCTTGCACTTCCCAACAACATCAATATATAATTCTTTCGTGGTTTGTGGTTATATCTTATACTAAATACTTTCAACTTAATTATTTATTGTATTACAGACTTTCCGTATAAGACCTATTCACTTTAATGGCCCAACCACATATTATAAGTATATTTGTTGTTATTGTAGGTACTAGAGAAGAACGAGAATGGCTGGTGGTATATAGAGATAGATGAGAAGGAAGGCTGGGCACCAGCTGCTTATATAGAACGAGCGGAACCAGCTGCTAACAGTGTACTTCCTGTTGTCAACAAGGCCAGGATGTCTTCACCTTTAGCTGGCAATGTAAGGAATGATTTATTGATAATTGAATGATTTAAAAGTGACTGCTATATTCCTTACTTAGCAACATGTTCTAATCTTAATCTGTTTTTAAAGTTATATATTTAATCTCTAGATGTCATCCAGAGTTCAGATATTTGGACATTCAAATTTATGTTTGGTATTCAGATTTTATTTATTTTTTGGATAAAGATATTGGTATAAGATATTTTAGATATTATCATTACCTTAGAAAATTGAGGTGAAAGACTTGTCATAAACATGTGATAAATATGCGTGGAGATTGTACACAAAATAAGTATAAAAAGACCGAAATTATAACAGCTTTTGATGGAGACCATAAGCTTCTTCTTAAAACATGTTAGAACTACTAATAATTTGAAAACATAAGAACTACGGATTATTTAAAGTTTACAGTTTGTAAGTAAAGATTCTCTAGATTTGCTCTTTAGTATTAATAAGTTTGGTTTTTTTTTGTTTTGTTTCTTTCATTTAGCAGAAGAGTTCCTCACCATCAAGAAGTAGAGAAGATTTGACAAATGGAGATTCAGATGAAAACAGCAGACGGACATCCACTGTCGGTGATTTAGCGAGTGCAATCAAAAATAAACTTTCTAAAGGAAATAAACAACCACCCACTCCACCAAAGAAAGACTTCCTTACTGATAATGATATTAAGGAAGAAAAGAACAAAAGTGGACATTTTGAGTCAGGAAAACTACAAATTCCAGGCGGATTTCAGTTACCAGGACAACACATGGGATTAAAGAAGGTTGCTGATAGAAGTAGCCAGCCTCCACCCCCTGCTCCACCTGCTAATAGGAGCATGCAACCCCCACCCCCAGCTCCTCCTATAAAAGCAAAAGAAGATCTGAAACCACAACTCCCTGTGCCGCCCGCCAAAGTAAAAGGAGACCTGAAACCCCCATCATCGCCTGTTAAAACGTCCGACGACCCTAAACCCTCTCCATTTGGTGCTGCACTAAAACCAACTCCTCCAAAAAAGAATGACACAAAATTAGACAATAAACCAAAACCGCCTTCATTGCCCATGAAACCTCACAATGAAAAACCCAAGCCTGTAGTACCAATTAAACAGAATGACAATAAGCCTAAAGTTCCTGTGAAAACTTCAGAGCCATCAAATGAAAGCGAAAGCAGTGTTGCAGGAATGGCAAGTGCTTTAAAAGCAAAGTTTGACAGTGTTAGCGTTGCCCCTAAACCTGCTACTAGTAACTTGAAACCAAAACCGCCAGTAAAAAGTAAAGTTGGAGATGGTGGTGAACAAGCAGCAGGTAATGTTGCTGGATTAGCTGGGATGTTGAAAGCAAGGTTTGAAGCATCTGGTAATGAAAAGCCTGAAACACAAACTCCAAAACCAAATGTAAATCCTAAAGTAACACCTGGGCCTCCGCCACCTATTAAGAAACCTGGATTTGGAAATCCTAGCATACCTTCAAAGCCAAGAAACTCTGGTCTAGGCCCTCCGATGCCTACAAAACCTTGGGCGAAAAAGCCTGAAAATATGTCACCACCAACTACAAATAGACCTTTATCAACAAAAAGTAATATAGACATGCCTAAACCAAGGAAATCAGAATCAAATGATGATGATACTGGGGCACATAAAGTTAGTGACTTAGCAAATGTCCTTAAAGCAAAGTTTGAAAATAGACAAAATGTAGGGGATTCACCTGGAAATGAAATAGGTCAAAGGGCAAGTAAACCATTACCACCTTCAAAAGCTGCAATTAAACCATTCCAGAAACCAGCACGGCCATCCACCCCTCCATCACCAAGGAGCAATTTACGAAAAAATCAAGGGAGACAACTTCCTTCTCCACCTATTGCAAGATCAAGTTCCTCTGGAATCAAAGATAATGATGGTTTGGATCCAAAAAAATATTCATCCCGCCCACTGCCACCACAACCAAATCCTCCAGTTAAGATGGACACAACAAGCAAACCCGCAGGGAAGGTATTCCCAGCATTACCAGTTAAACCAAAGTCTCCGGGTCCAGCAGCTCATTTCAGAAGGGCAGATTCAAGTGAGAGTAGTGATTCTAATGATGATTCTAAACCGGTTGGAGTTTCTAATCTTGCAAATGCATTAAAAGCAAAACTTGGTGGTAAAGGGCCTGTTGTTCAAGAAAGCTCTTATCTCACCCCAGCTGATGAAGAGGTTATAAATAATCTTAAAAGTGATTCTGACATTGAAAATAACAATGTAGGTAGTGATAATCTGTACTCTGCTATTGCTGATTTTGCAGGACATAATGAGGGAGAGATAAGACTTGTGCAAGGCCAGCAGGTTGAACTTTTAGAAACTGCAGAGGGCTGGTCATATGTAAGTATTGGAGGAAATGAAGGCTGGGCACCATCCACTTATTTAGAGAAAGTAGGGCCTGGAACCAGTGAGGAACCAGGCAGTTGGACTGGTTCACAGTCTCTCAGTACAACACAGACTGTCTTTAAAGCTAATGCGGAATTTATAGCAGAAAATGATGGTGAATTAAGTGTAAGTGAAGGACAGGATGTGAATGTGTTAGACAAAGAGGATCCAGACTGGTGGTTTGTTGAAACTGCAGGAAATGAAGGTTGGGTCCCAGCATCATATATTGAAGAGGTCACAGTCTAGCATTGTTAAAATCCATTATTGAAGCCAGTCTTCTAAAGAAAATTTGTTCATTTAACTTTTATTGTAAAAGAGACTAATATTCAAGGTTTTCTAAGCTCAAAAATATCCTGTTGGATTTCTGCATGCTTTTTTATCCTTTTTACATAAATTTTTATGAAAATTATGTAAATGACTACATGTTCAAAAAATTGTATTAATTATTTTTGATGAATTTACTGATAATATTCAATTATATCAAATTTGTTTTAAGAAAAATCAGGTTCCCTAATGGTAATTACAATATAAGTAATATAAAAAACATTGTAACATGTTCACCATGGAATACTAGCATATATTGTAAGACAAGGGACATTATTCTGAAAGTTATATTTTTGGAGTAATCTCTCTTTTAAATTTAGACTATTTTTGTTAAAATTGGTGCTTGGTAAGTCATTGCCTTTGTCAGATGAGCGTTAACAATGCTTTTGGTGATCTTGTTTGTTGTTTTTTATAGTTGAAATATATATTTTTGATACCAATATATTGTCCGGTCATGTTATATCATGAAGAGTGGATGCAAAAACTTTTTTAATTTGTTGCATTTCGTAGGAGATACAAAATTCAAGAATTTATTATACACTTATAATGAAATTATGAAATATTGTTGAAATAAAATGTGTATTTTCATTTTCCTTACTACTACTCTAAACATTTATGTGACTGCCATGAAATTTTCACTGGTGTCTTGCTGTACTCCTTTTTAGCTCGACTATACATAGTATATGGAGAGCTGTCCTACTCGCCTAAGGGGTCCAGATTTCAGATGAAAGTTTTGGTGCCATTAAATATTTTTCACTATAACTTTGTCATTTCTTAAGGGATCAACTTCATACTTCAAATATATGTTCCTTATCATCAACCACATGTTATGTGACAAGGTTCATAACTCTAGCACCAATATTGCAAGAATTATCTCCCCATAAATTTAGATTTTTTTACTTGAAAAATGTTATTTTTTACTATAACTTTTTTAGTTTTAAAGGTATCAACCTCAAACTTCAAATACTAATTCCTTATCATCAATTACATTTTATGTGACAAGGTTCATAACTCTTGAAGCAATATTTACAGATTAATCTCTCTTTGAATTTAGGATTTTCTTTAAGAAATATTATAACTTCTTTACTTTTTAAAGTAACTACTTCAAACTTCAAATGTATAGTTCCTATCATTACACACATGTTGTGTGACAAGGTTCATAACTCTAGCACGACTATTTCCAGAATTATTCCTCTTGATCTTGTAATTTATGTTAACAATGTTATTTTTTTAACTATAACTTAATATATAATTATACTTAATTGATTGTTCTTTCATAGTTTTGTCTTCCTTACTGCATCCAATATTTTATTAGTCGAGCTTTGCTGTCTCCTGTGACAGCTCTTGTTCTTAATTCAGCCAATACACAAAATTAAAGGGGAAGTTTTCTTAGTTGTAAGGTCATCAAAGACAAAAAGTATATAATAAACAGAAAAGTCAAGTTTTTTCTTATTAATACAGGATTTATTTTCATCTTGAGGTATGAAAATTATCATATTTCACTACTGCCACTCGTGAAATATTTATTTTCATACCTCTCTATGAAAATAAATCCTGTATTTATTGAAAAAAAACTTAAATTATCCTCAATACATATCTACTTGTTCATGGGGGAAAAATCATCCCCAAAAAAACAAAATATAGCAAATTTTACTGTGATATCAGTATTATAAAGCCAGTGGACAGTATCTTGTAACTTAACAGAATGTAAGCTATTAAATATGTTTTTTAATTTTTTTTTACAGTTATGAATGTGCCATTTTGATTTACTGTTTTTACTAGATGATAAGACCAAATCCATAATGGGACCATGGAGAAGTGATTAGCTTTTGCCAACAGTAAAGAGCCAGGTCATCCTGCACATTTTTGTAATCTTACCAGGCTCTATTCTGTTGTTGGCTTCACAGCATTAAAATGTTCATCTTCATCCCTAAGATTGAAATATGGACAATTCCAAAATTCCATTTAGTTTATATGAATTTATTTTAGTTTTATTGTGTTGGAAGATATAAACCTTTTGAAACCCTCTCGAATCCGTTCTTGTAACCAACCAGTACTAAGCAATGAGTGTCAAGTTTCTTGCTCATTGACACAACAGCTTTCCCCTGACAGGGTTTGAACGATGTGGCCAGCAATCCTGAAATGAGTCTGGCCTCTTTTTGAATTTAAGGCATGTCTTTCCATTTAAAATAGTAAAAACTTTCCACAGTCTAGCAAAGATAGTTTATATTTTCACTGGATCATGATATGAGCCGCGTCATGACAAAACCAACATTATAAATGGGTTTGCGACCAGCATGAATCCAGACCAGTCTGATCAGGATCCATGCTGTTCGCTATCAGTTTCTCTACTTGTTATAGGGTTTGTAAGCGAACAGCATGGATCCTGACCAGACTGCGCGGATGCGCAGGCTGATCTGGATCCATGCTGGTCGCAAACGCACTATGTTGGTTTTGTCATGACGCGGCTCATATGTGTTTGCTCCTTGTCAGAGTTCATTGAAAGTGTCTCTACATAATTTGATCATGTTTTTGCTATTCTAGAATTTTCAGTAAAATCATTCAAGTGCCTTTGATCTTTGTGAACTGTGATACATATCCTTAATTTTTGTCAGATTGATAGATAAGCATTTTATAATAGTTACATTTTGTAATAGTTCTTTTAAGTATTAGAATTTGTTTTGCTAAATATTTGTTGCATGTTAGTGTAGACTCGCTCACTTAACTGATTTATGACATTTTGCATAAGGCTCAGTGATAGCACAGTAAGCAAATTGATGATATGCGTACAATCACAAAAATATGGTTTATATTTTGCTCGTTGCTAGTAATATTCTAATTATACACTGAATTATTAATTATGAAGTGCAATTAGAATTTTTTATATTATTTTATTTAAATAGTTAAATGTAGTTATCTTTGAAAGTTTGTTTTTCATGATGTTTTAGTTTTTGACTAAAGAATCGTTGGCAATGGCACATTTTGATTTGCATTTAACTTCAATATTTCATGAATAGCTAAAAGATATTCACTTCAAACTTTGCATGTATTTGGGATCAAAATTGCTAGTATCAATATTGTTCATGTAAATGTATATATGCAATAGGCTCAAAAACATGTTCTATCTGCACAGCTGAAAGAATTCATTTCGAACGTCATACATACCTTCAAAGTTTTACTATACTCTCACTGATAAAAGACCTGTAACTCTGGCTTTGAATTTTGCTGAATTATTTCCCTTTTGTAAACTACAATATTTAGCATCGTGTTTTATTTTACTATCAAGCACTAAGAATTATCAAATGTGCTGCAGTTTGGCAGCTCTTGTTATCGTTCATTTTCTAATTTATTTTACTAGTATCTCTTTTATTGCCTTTTGTAGACTTATTTTTCTCATGCTTTACACATTTGTGCCTTTTATTTTGACACACAAGGTCAGCTTCTGTTCTTTTTTAGCTTGTATGTATGTAATTCATAATCATTAGTTTGTTTTTTTGTTTGTTGATAATTAATGAAAATTTTAACTGCTTAATGATAATTTAATCAATTTTTATACAATTGTTGACAATGCTTTGTTAACCATATGGGCTATGTACATTAAATGATAAAATAAAAAATATTATTGTGTGTTCTTCATTACATTTTCCAACTGTGCTGGTGGAACGAGACAACAAGTGCCCCCTTGGCATAATACTTTAAACCCAAAGGATGAACCTAAGCAGAACTGTTGACTTTCTATTTAGGTAATTGGGTACATATGCTTAGCTCAATAAGGATAGCATAGGAATGGTAATCCAAAGGTTGTTGGTTTGAATTTTAAGTGTAATGGTCATTTGTCTCTCACTGCTGATTACAGATATTGTGTGGGATAAGTTGTTTTTCACTTGTGGAGAAATTGGTGATTACTAAATGGTAGTTATCCAGGAAAGTCAGTTGGGTAGTTCAACTGCCAAGATATGACCAAAAATGTGTTAAAGCAGCATGCCTCCAGATTCACGCTAATTTTCAAGAATTTGTTTTAAATGTATTTAAAATAATTTACACATTGCAAACAGCTCTTGCAATCCACATAAATTACCAAAAAGAGGTCAAAATAAGCAAAATTAGCCCATACTGCGTTAGTAACGCAGTAGAAATATTGTGATAAATACCGCAAAATTGGCCCTTAATCGCTTATAAACATGTAAATCATTACTTGAATCTTTAAACATTTTACTTTTCTTAAAATTTTAGCACACTTTTCTCAAATATAATTTTCTTGAAATATTTCGGCTCATCTGGAGGCATGCAGCTTTAAAAATCATCATAAACACCAGTAAACCTAACCAGTTTAGATTAAATTATTTAGTTTCCTTAAGACTTTCACCAAAAGTGATTTTGTTTCTTACTACATAGTGTGACAAAAATTTCCCATTCTGCAAAATTAAGAATGTTATCGAGGCAAAAATGTCTGACTTTATCATGTTAAATGTTATCCTGTGGTGAACATCATCATGTTTTTCGGTGACAAATGCCATGATTTTTATCCTGTGGAGTGTGGACAATGCTTTCACTTTAACCTAAAGTGATATTTTATTCTGTGGCAAATGCCATATTTTCATCCTGTGGCAAATGCTGTTATTTTACCCTGTGGCAGATGTTGTCCTGTGGCAAATGCTATCAGGTTACCCTGTGGCAAATGCTATTATTAAATCCTGTGACATCAAATTATCCAGATACAAGTTATAATTGTATCATGTTGCCATATGTTGTAAATTTTATCATGTTATACTATGGTAAATACAACCATGTTATCCTGTTGCTGAAACAAGCCCACAAAGAATGTTCTAACTGGTTTGAAATCAAGTACATGTAGTAGCAAATTTATAAAAAAAAAATAATAGAAACAACTGGTCCCCGATCATAAACAGAGGGTTTCATATATACCAAAATGTTGTAGCAAAAAAAAAACACCCATAATGTATATGCATCTTATTTATTTATATAATACAATAAAATATGAACTGATGATACTGATGATATGACCTATCTACAGTTGAAAATATCACAATAGTTACAGGTAAATAAAATATACAGTGTTGAATACAACCCTTTAATGTTATAATATAAATATTAGGAACCTGCCAAGTTAAAAATATGAAATGACAGGGGAAACAACTCAGTCCTAGTTAAAGTATCAAATAATTATAAATTGGCAACAAAGTGTTTCGAACTTTAAATCTGGGTCAGATTTCTCTGTGTTACAAAACTGGAAACTTTGTAATATTATAGTATAATATTTCACATTATAAAATAGTTTGACATATTTGTATGAGGAATATTGGAAAACTCCTCAAACATGCTTCTAGAAGCAGCCTATCCTTTTATATATTTTGAAAATGTAAAAAAATAGTTATAGATTGAAGATATGGTAATCATATAGTAACAGATGGAATGTTTTAAAAAGCAGAGAACAACACAAAAAGTCCCTTCCTTAATGAAAATAGATGTAACACACAGCTACATAAATGAGATCTTACAAATATTTCAAAAACAATAAAAAAATCCACGATTTTTTACTTATAATACAAGTACAAGTGCTGAAATACTGTATTGTACATGTACATATAAGAAAATATGACATAATATTTATAAACTGTTTTAATACTGGATTTTTAATTTGGAATGCATTAGTTAATATTTTGTAAAAAATATATAGCTCTGCAATAAATTTGGTTAATGTTTTTTTTACTATTTCAGTGAACATAGGACTGGTTCACTATTCACCATTTCAGTGAACTTAGGAATGGTGAACAATACACTAAAAGTGAATTTGGAACTGGTTCACTATTCCAGTGAATTTAGGACTGGTTCACTTTTCACCATTTCAGTGAATTTAGGACTGGTTGACAATACACCATAAGTGAATTTAGGGCTTGTTCAATATTCACAATTTTATTGAATTAGGACTGGTTCACATTGCAATTATAATTTTAGTGAAATTTTGGACTAGTTCATGTTCTTTTCAAAAAAATAGGGTTGTAAATTTCACAATTTATTCAGTGAATTTAGGACTGTTTCACAATATATCTATTACACAATTAAAGAACCATGGTTTCCACAGTACAATATGTTTTAATACTACAAATTAAGCATAGTGAACCAAATTTACACTTTTCAATAAATCAAAAGTTAATTTCAAAACATTAAGGCTGTAGGCTTAGAGATGAAGAAGAACAATTTCTTGCTCTGGTGTGCTTTACAGTTTAGAAAAAAAAGTAAACTACTTAAATTATGACAATTATGTAAAGGAATGGGTAACTTGCTGGAATTTGGTAACTAAAGCGGGGTAAAATGGAAAGTACATAAATAGTGTGGTATAATGGCACAATACTAGCTATATTAATTGATAACACGCCATCTAGTGATTAAAAATGATGAATATATAAATATAAATATACCTAATGTTAGAATGAAAACTTAACAAAATCTGAGTAAAGTCAAAAAATGGACGGACATTAAAACACAGTTAAACAGTTGTAGACACACATGAAAATGATTATTAAATAAAAAAGAAAAACACAGAACAAGAAAATACATGTATATCATAGGTATGAATACACAGAACTATTTTTTGTAGTTAAAACATACAAGCACAAGGAAAATTAACATGTTGAGCTTTTAAATTTTTTCCTCCATAGTAAAAATACATTTGCATATACAAGTAGATCTATAAGCCTTAAGTTAAAATAATAGGTTAATTAACATAAAATTGATCATAGGCATGTTACATTTTGGTAATAAACCATAGAAATACTTAAAAGATAGAAAATAAAACATGGAAGGATCTATGATCAATACAGTCTCTCAATAAATCAGGATATTTCACGGTTCTTAAATCGTTAAAAGTTAAATGTAAATCTGGACAAATGATACATGTATTATTCACTGTTACTTCTAGAAATTGAACACCTTTTTTTTGGTTAAGAAAATGATAAACAAAACTCAAGCATAAAAGATCAATATTTAGTATTGAGTGCGTAAAAGAAAATTTTATGAACGATTTAAACTAAAGGAAATGCAATTTGAAAACTAAAAATTGATTTTGATAAAGCATTTTGATTACATAGGGTTTTTTTTTTCGCCTTCAAGACTGGCAAGAAATGACTACAACTAGACAGTAAAAGCACTAACTAACATACACTATGCTGTGACAGCATAATCATTAGGCTACAGCAAATCGATAGATTGGGAGCGAAACAGACGTAACTCCTTCATTATGTAATATTAGTTACAACTGTTTTGCACCAAACCCTCGAAATATTTTAAAGATATGCACATAACAACTCTGTCCTCTAAAACTGAATACATTATTACATTTTATGAAGGTCATACACCACTATTGATATTAAATAGATTTACTACATTTTGTTGAATCACCAAGACTGACTTCTCGCAGAAACCTGATTTTCTTGTGGATACATAAAAATATACTCTGAACTTTCTAAAATGATACTGCCAATGAACAATTATGGTTACGTTAGCTGACCAAAAAGAAACCAGTATTAAAACAAAATGTACTTCGCCAAAAAAAGGTAATTAATATATTCTTTCACTAAAGTATAATTCTTATTGTACATCTAATTCTGTTATGAACTGTGATATACATGTATATAAATAAAAGGGAAGAAGTATTAAATTGAGCAGCCATTGTATAAACATGGTTATCAGATATCTAAAATATATTAACTAAGAAAACCTTTTTTACAATGTTTTTTTGGCAATGGTCAAATCCTGTCCCCAAGCTAAAAATATTGAAATGCTATCCAAAGCATAAGTAAATTCTAGAATTTATGGTTTTTAATAATGAATCTATTTATGAATAGTTAGAAGACTGGCGTTTCCCTTTTTGATGTCCTTGCGAAGGCTTGTAGAAAATTTTGGTATCAAAACCATTTGGTTGACCATGAGAGGACAGCTGCGCAACATGAGCTTGAGCTGCCACCATGTGACCATGAGATTGAGCAGCAGCCTTCTGCCCATGACCTTGAGCTGCCGGTCTCTGATGTACATGCAAATGAGTGTATGAGTTCGGCTCGACCCCCCCAGAAAGTTCAGTGATGCGCATGTCTTTAAGGTGTACCAAGTGTTCAAGTCTGTGTATCTTGCCCTGTAAAATCTGGAAATAAAAGTAAATTTAAAACAAATGAATGACTTGAATATTGTAATAAATATTAATGCTATAAATAGTCTTACAAATAACACAGAGTAATCCATTCTAAAGACCACCTATAAATAGTGAACCATTTAAAAATATTTTACGGTGCACTTTATCTTTGATAGATAAAAAGAGGAGATCGAATAGGCCTTACTAATTGGAGAAATTGGCCTTAATATGTATAAGGAGACTTAGATTGGAAAATCTATTTTTAGCTCCAGTGGCCTTGACCTAGTTAACCTGAAACCTCATCAAAGCAGAGTGGTCCAGGGTAAGTGCCTCCTAATTAAGTACATGTATTCTGAGGAACGGTGTAACTGGAGGATAATATTCAGAACAATCCCTAAGCAACGATAACTTTCGCTAAAAACATTAACCAGATACACTGACATTTGTCACCTGCAACAATCATAGTATCCTAAACAATCTCAATGAAATCAAATCATCGTTTTCGCTCCATCACTCTTTGCTACAAAGAGTAGTGGAACGTCAGCTAGGACTAAGGATACCATTTTAATGAAACTGACATCCTTAATAAAGCATTTCACATTGACGAGTTGAAATAATAATAAAAATGCTGCATGAAGACAAATATCTATCTTTAACATTTCTGTTAGTAAATAAAGTAGCCTCAGCTGAACAGTTAAAAGACCAGAATTAACTAGCTAAGACAGTCAGAGGAAATAGTAAGGTGTTAAAAGAATAAAGATTCTAAAAAGATGAATTAGAATTCACTTTCTTTTAGGGTCAGTCACAGAGATTCTAAACAGATGTATCAAAATTTACTTCCTTTTTGAGCCACTTGATGTTTAAATAATTCAGTCAGTAAAAAATCCCGGACACCCCCAGTAAATTTTAATGGACTTGCCCTGCTTGGAATTAGGAACTTTCCATTGTTAATTAAAGGGGTTTTAATTCCAATATACTGAAATCAAGTGGCAGACGGTACAGACTCGAGCCAATCGGCCTGCATTGTATTTTCAAAAGGTATTAATAACTTTTAAAATGGGTGTGTTTTTTTTTGTGATAAATATGCTTGTTAACAGACAAAATAATGTGACAATATTAGTTTAAATATATGTGCAAAAAAAAAAAATTATAATAATAATACCAAATTATATACATTTAGAAAATGACAGCATGTATAATATATTTTGTCCCTTTTTTCAGGTTGTTAGTGTAGATTTTACAAAAGAATTTTTCTGATACATGTGTTTGAGTTTTTTTAAGTGACCCCTTTTTAGGGGGTTTAAAAGTTAAAAATAACATACAAAATAAGTAAAATTTTATTTTTACTACAAAGAACTGTGTATGCAATTTTTAAAATTTTTAAAATCAAATTTGAGCATAGTATATCTTTAACAAACTGACTAACTAACATGAGCTCTTTCAATAATTGTACGTCATATGGTGACTTTCCAGCTTTACTGGTGAAGGAAAACCTCAGGTGCCCTTCAGTGCATTATTTCAGGCACAATCTGGCACCCGAGTAGAACCACCGACCGACGTTCTTTAACTATCTAGATAGCAATCAACATGAGCTTAACAATTATCATATTTACTCCAAAGGAAGTCATATTAGTATTCATTAAAACCCCTTCTACCTTAGTACATGATGCATGCCCACCTTTTATGATATAATGGAATAAACCTGAGCAAAATTTAAAATCATTTCTTGATTCCCGTTGGCCGCATTGACTCAACCCGTGTTTGTAGATCATCAATTCTCATGTCTTTTAAATGTAGTAAGTGTTCTAAGCGGGAAATTTTTGCTTGTAAAATCTACAAATATAAAAAAAAATTAGTTGGTGTGAAAAAAAGTGAAATATTAGTGGACTATATAAATAGTTTGAAATTAACCAAAAGAAAACATAAATAAGCCAAAGGAAAACTTATGAGCAGTACTAGAATCCAAGCCATTTCTAAATACAGTAAAATAGAGAAGTATTCGAGTTTATTTAACATTTCAATAGCTTCAAATTTGGCCGATGACTCACTTGAAAATTGCATCATAATAAATATCAGAAAGTCCAAGGTTAGTATTCATCAATTTTAAAGTACATGTACTTAATATTTTCTTAAAATTTCTTCTTTTCTTTGCATGATATGCATAGAATTAATTGACTTTCTAAATTCCAAAAGATACAGTTTTTTACACACGTGCAGTATAAGATAATCAAGGTTATAATTGCATAAATCAACAAATTAACAATACACCAAAGTAAATTTAGGACTGGTTTACGATACACCTTAAGTGAATTATAAGGGCTCGGTTGACAATACACCTTAAGTGAATATAGGACTGGTTAACAATACACCAAAAGTGAATTTAGGACTGGTTGACAATACACCAAAAGTGAATTTAGGACTGGTTGACAATACACCAAAAGCGAATTTAGGACTGTTTGACAATACACCAAAAGTAAATTTAGGACTGGTTGACGATACACCATAAGTAAATTTAGGACTGGTTGACAATACACCTTGAGTGAATTTAGGACTAGTTGAAGATACACCATAAGTGAATTTAGGACTGGTTGACATTATACACCAAAAGTGAATTTAGGACTGGTTGCCGATACACCATAAGTGAATTTAGGACTGGTTGACAATGCACCTTGAGTGAATTTAGGACTGGTTGAAGATACACCATAAGTGAATTTAGGGTTGGTTGACAATACACCAAAAGCTAATTTAGGACTAGGTCAGTTATAATAATTCACCATTTCAGTGAATTAGGACTAGTTCACATTACACTATTTTAGTGAAATTTAAGACTAGTGTATTTCTTTCTCTGCTGATTTCATATAATGGACTTGTCCCACATTGAATTTGGAAGAGTCAATTTTTAATTATAAGGAGTTCAAGGTAAAATGAACCGAATTGAGTGAATGCTTCATGCAGTCTGCACAGATTGTTTAGCCTAAATAAGCCATGCAGGCTCTATACTTAATTGTGACCAAGCCAGTAATTTTCATTCACACTAGATTTAAAAAAAGTAAAGTGTTTTATTATATATTTGGTAGTCTGCACTTTGTAGAACACATGAATTTGTTAATATTTTGACAAAATTCATTAAAAAAATCTTTTTTGTGAAATAATCATTTTTACTTTGCATAATTATATGACCTTAATTAAAAGCATTAGTTGCTAATTGGGAAATTTTCAATTTAAGTATAATAATAGTATAATAATTTCATCATTATATTTTTCATATTACATTTGCATTATGTTTTAAGTGTCTCTGCTGATCTATACAAGATTTTGAAATTTATATTTATTAAGCTTTTGGTCTGCATCTAAATTATCAACCTTCTTTAAACTGTAAGTACTGATGAATACTAACCCTGAGTTAAATAAATTGTTTATAACTTTTCATCTAAGTATAGATTTAATACAACATTAAAGATACTTTGCTAAATACATTCCACCACCAAAGATATTGTGTACAATATAAATTTCTAAATATAAACAAACAAATATTTCTAAAATGACAGTCTGTTTTCATACACAGCAAGTGAGATAAATGCTCCATGCTGCAGTTCATGTTAACATGTAGAAAGCTTGGAAAAATGCCCATAGGTTTTCGTATTCTTTGGCCAATTAATGAAAGATTTTTTTAATAAAGATAATTAAGAGCAAGAATGATTAATATATGATTTTTACTTACAAAATAAACATTTATTTACATTATGATGTTTTCAATAATTTTATTATACTATACTAGCTTACATCATGCAAGTCTACATTAAAAACAAGAAATATACTGTCTTCCAGTCATTCCACTGTTATGTCACTCGATGGACAGACAGCCGAACAACAGACAAGGGTAATCTACGCCTCACCTAATTAAGTATTTGGGAGCATAAAAACAACATTCCATACTTATTGCAATTAATATCTTTCTGAGATCATCATAGATTAATTATCTTACAATCTAAAATATCATTTTATTAGCAGGTTATACTGTCAAATATAATTTCTTAAATAACAAAATTCTCGATATTTTGCAAAGGGTAAATCCAAAATACATCTGAATTATTCTAGAGTAGTGCAAAACTGGTTTGTTTCATTAAGCTAGAGCATCCTTTGAAGTGATATATAACTTTTTAGTTCTTGTCGTAAAAGTATAAAAGATTTACCAATCAATTTCTTAAAAATTTGTAGATGTTATGAAATTTAAACCCTTGTCTTGCTGGATTTATATAATGGACTTGGCCCGCTTAGAATTTGGACCAGTCCATGAAAAAAATAAGGGATGTCCGAGTATCCAAATAATAAAATTCAGTAACCAACAGTTTTTGTCAGATTGTAAAATGTGTAGGCAGACCCGACGCTCTATACAGGTGACATTAAGCCTATTAGGCTTGAAAATTCTGCCAAAATCATTTGAATATTTTAAAAGAATTCTTAAATAACAATAATTTCCTTACAATTCCAATATAAATTATACATTTTTATTTGTTTATTACAAAATATATTCATATAATCAAAGGCTTATTGCTACATATGAATTGTAAATGTTACATATCTGGACATCTCTTAAAATGAAACTGAAAAATGAAAAACATTAAAATTTAATTACTGTAAAATTACGACTTCTTCTATTATAAAAGGTATGCATTAAAATGTTTAAGCAGTCGCCCAAATCTATGTAGCCTTCAATATCTAAAAAGCCTTCAAAATATAAATAGCCTTCAATATCTAAATTGCCCTAAAAATATAAATAGCCTTCAAAATCTATGTAGCCTTCAATATCTAAATTGCCTAGCCTTCAAAATCTATGTAAGCCTTCAATATCTAAATTGCCCTAAAAATATAAATAGCCTTCAAAATCTATGTAGCCTTCAATATCTAAATTGCCTAGCCTTCAAAATCTATGTAAGCCTTCAATATCTAAATTGCCCTAAAAATATAAATAGCCTTCAAAATCTATGTAGCCTTCAATATCTAAATAGCCTTCAAAAAGCTAAAAGCTGTGTTATAACTACAGTCAACTTCTGTATAATCTTATTAAAGAGATGACTGCCAAAAAAAATTGAACTGAAACGGAAATCTAAAAAAACAAATTTTAATAAAAATAAGGCAAATATTTTAATCTTAGTTTTAATTTTAATAGAAACAACTTTAAGAAGTGAAGAAATCAATATTAGTCATAGGCTTCATGCAGATAAATATCAGGTGATTTACTAACTTAAGATGTGAAATAACTTTAAGACTAAAATTTCTACATGACTTTATGACAGTAAGAAAAGAAGAGTATAACTGAGAATATGATAAAATTAACCAATGAAAACCTTTAAATACAGAAAACAGAAATAAAGAATTACCCTTTCCGCCGGCTTCTGGCTACTACCATCACGTCCCCGCCCCCTTCCCCCTCACACATTCTTATCCCCAAAGGGCCCAAAACCTTCCCCTCATTATCATACACCCTTGAATAATGCCATTTTTTTTTTTTAAAGATGATATATTTTCATCATTTTACTTCTCAAATTTTGATATACATGTACATTTGTATATATACATGTAAATTTAATATTCAGACATGAGAATTGTGGTGTACGTTCAAAAATGGTGCATAAATTTTCACCTCAAACTTAAAAAAAACCACCCTTTGACAAGCAAGTGTTGAGTAATATAATGCAGTGCAAAAATCTACACCTTTTAATCAATGATATGCCATCAATGAATTTTATTTCTACAAGCCATATTCAATAAGCAATTCAATTAAGATAGATAACCTTAAGCAACCAAGTGTATTAATAGAAATCCACTTTGCCAAAACGCATAATAAATCTTTCTGAATTACAAAATTAACTTAACATTTATCTAGTTCAGTATTATATCTGCTAGAATAACTGTATAAAAAGCAAGTAAAATGTAAGTAAACCTAACCAGAGAGAGTTTTCAAAAAAGCTTTACAAGCTTCCTACTCAATCCGTAAATTTTATTTTATGTAATTTATTATGTAAATGTGTGGATTATTAATAAAATATTGTTTAAACTAAACCTAACCAGTGAAACCTGCAGAAAAGGCCAACATTGAAAACCTTATAGAAGATATATATACAGGTTATATGTGGAACTATATTATAACTTCCTCACTACAAAAGTGAATATTTTTGCGTTTATAAAAATGGTGTGGTGTTGGTAGTTTTGAAGTTTTCACTCTGGATCACAGGAGTAAACCAAATTGAATTTAAATACCAGGGCACAGTTCAGTCACCGAATCGATCCTGGACAGGCTATCAAGCAGTTCACCAGTACTAGTTGCCTTCACTTTTGCAAGATACTGATAATTTCTGTACATGCCAGAGCAGAGGTACAGTGTAAATGACCGTAGAACATGTAGAAAGGATTTCATGATCAATCACAAAGAAAGTGACCTGCACTGTCCAGGAATCAAACCCAAATAATCAGAGCTCTACCTATTGAGCTAACCGGACAGTTTCTTTAACTAAGGTTCTTCCTTAAAATACATTTTAATGACATGGACAGCGAATTTAAATGAAATATTAATGCGCTGTTGAACAAACACATTCAAATGCCTTCATTGTTAACTATATGATGTGTACCAGAAGTTGCCATGGCAAATATTGTATTTGCTAAAGGGAAAATTTTTTCTGCCATCTGACCTGAGGCCCTCTACTGCCTTAATTAGATATTATTTTGATATAAAAATCCCTCATTTTTATAATGGACAGTCCCAAATTCAAAGCAGGAGAAGTCCATTTTATAGGTAAGGGTAATAACTCTGAAAGTGGTCTTTAGCACAGGTTTGACTGTATATGCATGATAAAAAATCCTTGCCCAAGTCTAAACCTGAGAAACATGAAAGTTGCCACATTAAATGGGGCCCCCTTTAAATTTCATTCTTTTTATTGATAATGATCAAAGATTACAAAACAGGAGAGAGTTAAAATCAAATAAGCGTTAAGCTTTCTACTCAATCCTCGATGCAATTTATATATTGAAATTTTGTTTGAAAATATGCAAAAAGAAATGAATATTGTTTAAACCAAAGATTACAAAATTTTACAAAAACATTTGGCTTCAAGCAAAAAATGATAGAGAAAAGACATTCTACATGGCAATTTTTTCTTTAATTTTGAAATGATATCTTTTAATGTGGCAATTTTCAGAATAAGTGTAAAAATATATAATTGTATACAAATTACAAAACTAACAAAACAATTGCAGCTAGCACTGAGCTAAAACACTCCACAACAATTGTAAATTTTGCCACACACAAAACGTGCTACTAATGTGTGGACACTGTAGCCACTGACCTTGACCATTTCATCCTTAGCAAGGACTTCTTGTTCCCGCTCTTCTAACAAAATACGCGGGACCAAATCGCCTTCCAGTATTTTATTTCTCTGACGAGGTGGAATATGCTCCACTCTGCAATGTTAAAAATTTAAGAGAATATTAATTCGGGATAGGTGGCACTCTGACTTACTTGTATAGTTTCGTCACGTGATAGCACTTCCTGTTCCTTCTCTTCAACGACGTACCTCGGCACCATATCGGACTCGACCACCTGACCTGGCCGTTTCTTTTGTATAGTTTGTTGCTTTATAGCAGGTTTTGGCGGAGCCTTTTGCTCATGTAATCTGTAAAATACTTTCTAAGTTAGCGCAACAATAACAACAACAACAATACGATTACAAACACAAGAACAGAGACAACAATAATTACAGTAAAATTTTACACAGCATTTTCATCTTATGGTTTCAATTTACACATATCTGAAATATTAGAACAGTCTACATTGTGCTACTTAGCTATTGGTCAAATTAAAATTTCAAAAATCTGAAACAGCCAATCAAATTCAGTGTTGTTTTTCTCATCATCAAGTTTATTAATAAAATAAATTATATTCTGTACTATAATGCTAACAAAACAATCTGAAAATGACATCCAATTAAAACATTATGTAAATAACTCTAGCTTTATCTCACATTTTTTTTTTATAAATTATACCTCATTTGTACTGAGATATTTAAAACAAAAGCAATCATACTATCATAATAATTTAATACTCAGTATCAATATGATTCTGAAAACAGTATTTCCTTGTAGTGTTAAAAATGTAAAAATGATTGAATTGGCATTATGTGCCTTTCTAATTATAAATGGTTAGTGTACAGGTTAAAGTCAGAATAACTTTACATTTTGCCTTTGCAACTTGTGTGACTCATGGAAATTCTTTGAAATTTATCGGTAACATTCAATGATATACAGAGTGTTGCAATCATTTGTACATGTTTTTAAACATTTATCATGAACAATTACTGTTCAATCACCATGATATTGATCGGCTATAAAGGCTTTTGAAATTTATAGCTAACTTAAAGCTCAACAGAATGATGTTGACAGCCAAAAAATTAGCAAAATGTCATTTTCATTTTTAGTTAGTCTGTTTTGAAGAAAAAGTCAAGCAATTACAATTCCTGCAGCGTCAGTAACTCATTGTCGTCATCATAATGAAAACACTTCAATGTAGCCGATCATTGAAACATTTCAATGTTATCAACATTAAAAAACCCAAACCTTTTTGCTTTTTCATGAACAAGGTGCAAAATTTCGCAATTTTTCGACCAAAAAACTAATTTCTGAAGGTAAAAAAACAGAAAGATATTTTTTGACTTACCGGTATGCCTCTTTTAACTTAGAATTTTTAACAAACAAGCGCTATAACCACATGTGATGTTCTTGTTTAACAACAAAATTAAATACTGTTTTCAGAATCATGTACTGAACACACTTGTAAAAGTTTTGAAATACAAGTAAAAAGATTATTGTTTGTTTTTCTCCAAGTACCATAATAAACTCATATCACAGTAAGTATATAAGCCCTTAAAAAATACATCATGATCAACATCAATCTGTAAAACAAAACAAAAAGGCACATTTTAAAGGCACATTATGTCACAAAAATGAAAGGATTTTGTTCTGCATAGAAAAGGCAAACATGATTGTGTTTTATAATGTTTAAATAATTATGGGTTTAGAATGTGCAACTTAAGATTTATAGCCATTAATTTTGTGATATATGTAGCAAAATGTAAGCAATGGGCTGCCATACAAAATACTAATTAACTATAACTTTACTTATTGCCAGAACCCAAAGGGAAAGATGTTTTCAGGTATATGGCCAATGTATATCACTTTGAAAACTTTAAAAGGACACACGTAAAAAATTTTTTGAAAAATACAAATGATACCATTTTTTGAGGCTTAATTAATGGGCCTTTAAAGTAAAGTTAATTATAATTATACAAACATACAGCATAATATTAATTAAGGAATTTTCAATTATAATACCAATTATCAGGGTTATATGTACATGTAGACATACAGAAAGCATAGCTACATGTATATACATAGAATCTTACAAATGTTGTCATTTCTTAATCAACTTAAACTGATACAATTAAAACAATTCTAGGATAAAAAAAATTTATAAGTAAGCCTGTGCCCAGGTATATACATGTATAAATATTCCAGAGAACAGTTTAATATACATGTAAGTCTTAATGAAATTATAGCAAATGTAAGATTCTATTTCATCACATGATTTTATACAGCCAGAAAATGGGGGAAATGAAAACCCCACTAAAACACCTTTGATGGGCCATATTTATGTCAAATTTGTTAAAATATAAAGGAACAAATAATTTTAATATTCATTGAGAACCAACAGTATCATGTGATAATCTCAAATATTGTTTCTATAGCACAACATTACAATAATTGAGCCGCGTCACGACAAAACCAACATAATGGCTTTGCGACCTAAGCATGGATCCAGACCAGCCTGCGCATCCGCGCAGTCTGATCAGGATCCATGCTGTTCGCTTACAGACCCTATAACAAGTAAAGAAACTGATAGCGAACAGCATGGATCCTGATCAGACTGCGCGGATTCGCAGGCTGGTCTGGATCCATGCTGCTCGCAAACGCATTATGTTGGTTTTGTCGTGACGCGGCTCATATTATGTTTTAAATCAAACACCATCTTCACTCCAACAAACACCACACTTCAGCAAAATATTCTTCATGATATCTAGCACAGAAAACATGAAAGTGCACACAAAAAACATAAAACACCTAGAAAAGTGGGAAGGTTTCACTTGCTATTAAATGGCGTACATAAAGCTCCAATTGTTAATAAGTGTATATCATGTACATACATGTACATACCGTAGAACCACCCATTTAATGATAATTCAGGATAATTATATTTGAATTACCGGTAAATTTAATTTTTGTTTTCCGCATTTAAAAAGCAAAATTAGAAAAGAAAAGTCAGGGGCGGCAAAATCAATTGTTTGTATTGCCCAGGTTGTCCCACAGCCTGTATGGACAAGTGAAAATATTCAAGAATTAACTACAAATGTATGTCAATATCATATGGACAAGTTAAAAAATGCTTCACATAAAAACCGACAAGTAAGTCAAAATCAGATTTTGCCGGCCCTGAAAGTGAACTTTAACTTTTTATGTCAGTATTTTGTTTATCATTTTCCTTATTATTTTAGGCAATGCTATATTTCCTGTTTATATATTATAATAATTCTACAATATATTTATCTGAAAATTTTTAATGTTACCAACAAAATTAAAGATGATTATAGAAAATTTAATACACAAACAATGGGCTAGTATTTTCATTGTTCTTTAAATCAATAGCCTATAGACTTTAATTGTTAATTTATTTTTTTTTTTTTTTTTTTCTATAAGAACAACAATCTCAGTAGATAATACATCAAAAGTAAAAGATAATTCCACTGAATTTCATTGGCAAAACAAGGTATTGTAAAAGAATAATTTTAATATGAGCATTTTATAAATAAATGTAAAAGGTAATTCCACTGAATTTCATAGGCGAAACAATGAGGCAATGCAAAAAGAAACAATTTTAAACTCTAAAATTTTTATCAAAAAAGCTACTTAATTCTCTTTCTATCAACAAGTGAAACCTTCATTATTCTGTCATTAAAAAAAACAAACCTCGACTTCCTTGAAAAGAATAATGTAGTGTCAAAAAAATTTTTTTTTCACAAATAAATCTCATAATCAATCTATCTAGCCACTCAAAACTCTTTCAAAAAGTCTGATAAAAACAACATATACATGTGAATGCAAGTATCTACTTGTAAACATGTAATAAAATTGCTCCTTTTCGTAGAAAACATAATAAATTTCCAAAAAGGCAATCTACACTGAATTTCAAAGAACGTAAACATACAATCAGCAAAGTCACAGCTATCTCTGTGTGTATTTTGAAACTGCTGTTTTATAATATTAAGCACAATTTTAAAACTTTTCAAGGAAATCCAAGTTTGTAAACATAATATAAAACGTAAGTCCCAGAGTGTCATATAGTACCCAGAGTTCCATCCCCTGTTGTCAAGGTAACGATGGGTGATTACATGACCATAGTCGTCCACCCTGAAATCATGTTCATCAACTATACAATACATAATTATAAAAAATATATATATATACATGTATGCACAATTTAAAAAAAAAAAATTCTATGTTACTTCCCAGTATTATTTTTTTTTAGAAAAATTTGTAAATTACTGCAAAAAAAACTAATTTCAAATGCATAGGATAAATAAGTAAGCTTTGCATCTGTTACAAGACCATCTGAGATTGCATGAAGCAAATTCTGAGCTCAGGTCTCGTAACCAATTTGATTTAATCAGACCAAATGTCTGTTATTATCAAAACTAAAATTAAAGATTAAAATCAATATAAATGCTAAAATTTGATCATACATATTTTTTTGGTTGTTTAATTGTCAAACAAATAGTTTGCCTGCATAACCAAATTTTTGTAAAGTTTTCTAGAAGTTTGAAAAAGCATTCAATAGCAAAACATGCTATGCAACCAATGTGACACCTATTTGAAAAATAACTTATGCACAGTGTACACTCATGATGAGAAAATTTGATTAATCATGAGGTGCTTCTATTTACCCTCATGATAAAAGTTGCGATCTGTTGCTTCCGGGCTAGGGGCACTATTAAAATTAATGCTTCACTTATACTTTATTAGATTTCAAGTGTTCCAGACAACTAGAAATTTGTTCGTTTAATGACCTTATTTTGAATTTCTAGAGTTCTTAGCTGTTATTAATAGGTGGAAAAAAACAACCCTGTTTACCAGAGTAGTAGAATAGTGAAAGTATTTTCATTAAAAAAAAAAAGAAGTTTGGAAAAAAAACAGAAGATTTTAGGTAATAAATTAACAGATTAGACTTTGCACATGTATTATATAAAAGCAGTTACCCAATTGACATACAGGAGCCATAATTTTGTAATATTTCAGCTTTGAATATGGCCTGAACCTTTGAAAATTAATTTCATCTAGTTTCAGAAAATGAAGAAATATCATAATGAAAAACATGAACTTACATACAGTTCAACATACTGTTACATACAGTTCAGTCAATTGTAAACCTTAAGCCTCCAAACCACTGAGGAATACTTCTTAAGTAGTAGGAACTTTGACTTTTAGATTACCTAACCTTTGGTAAGACCAGGTCCTGCAAGTTTTCACCTTGGGGGGCCTGGAAATGCAGCTGCAGTCCTTCACCCCACCCCCCCACCTGAGATTTAGGGGCCGGCACTACAATTGACTGGTGTACTAGAGAAATGGTCAAAATGGCAACCCTGGTACTAAATCTCTCCGTTTTCAGTGAATTAAATGTAATGCAAAGAAACAGAAGAACTGTGCTGTACAAACAGCTTTGTGTTCAGTGTTGAATATAACTACTTACGAAAGGTACTTGTAGTATTCATGACCACTAAATTAAAGATAAAAACAAGGTCAGAAATTAAAAAACTGTGTTCAATATTAAAAAAAAAAAACTTGGACAAAAGTTAGAAAATAAGGTCAAAAATGAAAATCTAGGTCAAACATGAAAAACAAGGTCAAAAATTAAAAACTATGACAAAAGTAAAAAACAACAGTATTTTCTGGTCAGAAAAAAACAAAACATTTTCCATTTAACAAGGTGAAATCTTTTGGTCTTTTATGCCATAATAACTCCAATTTTCTATAACAAAACTTGGGAATTCAATGCAAAACTGTCATTTCTCTACATATTAATGGTGCAGTTTTTCTTTGAATTTGCCAATTTGTCTTACCTTCAAAGCCATCTGACCAGGCTCTATACTACTTAATTTTAGCATTCTGATATCAAAATCCCTCACAAGAAAAATGGTCTGTCCCAAAATAAAAGTAGGACATGTCCACTTGATAAATTTAGGGTGGAAAGGTTAAGTTTAGGGTGGAAAAGGTTAAAGAAAAAGCTGATGTGGAATCATGTCAAACCTATGACATATAATGTATTAATATGACAAGAAAATTAAAATGATTTAATTCATAGAAATTTGTTTAGTTTAAACATATTTATTTAAGCTTCAGATTACGAAAAAAAGTTCTTGCAACTTCTATCGATCATTTTTGAGTCTGCTACCAGTACTGGTGTCATATGAAGCAAAATGGTCTTCACCCCGAGTAGGGCTCGAACCCATGATCCCTGGTTGGTTGAGAGGCAAACCCCTTAACCACTAGGTCACTGCTCCACAGAAATTATGATATATGATATCTAAATAATGTATTATCAATTATATCAAGGTAACATTATTTTGTCTTGATAAAAAAAAATTGACATAATTGTTAAGGCATACATTCATATTACATGATGATATATCATACAATTTGTTCAGACTCTGATAATAGGCTGTAAATGTAGTCCAAGAAAGCCAATTGTGAACACACATACATGTAAGCGAGCATTTAAATTCAATTCTACACAAACATATATTGTGAAGGTGAAATATCTACATGTTTAGGTGCTTTCGAAAATTTCCATCACATTAATATGACTGCAGTAATTTATTTTAAAACTAGTCTTGTTTTATATTATGCCAATTTTCTTAGGCAATCACGAGTTTTTAAATTATCTATGCACACTGACACAGTATATGTTCTATACAGTTTGCTTCAACAAATTCATAAAGTATTTGAATAAATTAAAACTAATAAAGTAAAACTATTATACAGTATTACAAAATTCCTAATAAGGACTTTCATCAGATAATATGGCTGTGTATAAATGGTTGTCACATGACTCCTCCAGTCTCTGCATTCAACTGTTTGTACTGGGCCATAAAACCTGCTTTAAATTAATCTTAATAGTTAAACTTTTACCATGCTAAATCCCTTTAAATTATTAGACTTGAATGTCTATATATTTCAATCTCGACAAAATAACTTAATAATATCAATTTTTGGGAAAATTTCAAAATAAGTACTGACTGAATACAATGTAGTGAACAGTGCAGAACATGATCAAATGGCATGTAGGTGTCGGCTGATTTTGGTCAGCACTGGATTCATGGGCAGATGCCACTTGCAGCATGGGCTAAAGGCTTATAAAGCATGTGAACAAAACAAAGTATATATATTTGTGAACATCTGAATTTTCAAGCTATGTATATAAAACAACTTTTATATAAATACGTCATTTTCACATAACCCCATCAAAGTACCTTTGGCCTTTTTCATTGTTTCCACTGAAATTTTCCTTAAATTTTACAAGATTCCTTTTTGGTTCGAATGTTATCTGTTTTTCTCTGTAAATATGAAACAAAACCTACCAACTTGAAATATGCTGACAATACCTTAAACATTTATGAAATACATTTGTATCAAACATTAGCAGAAAAAGATTATGAAACAATATATATTATATATAAACATGTACATGGTAATAAAAAATATGACCTTCACCAAGGACAATGATTAACTAAAAGTTTTAAATGATTAAAGTTGTTATCCATACACATACATGTATTTAATCATCATTGTCTAACGGGTTTTTAGGTAACATATAAAGAACATATGAACAACTTTTCATCCTTTTACTGGTGGAGAAAGATCCTCACATAAGATGCTGTCTGCATATTTTTTGAGACAAAGACTAACACACGACTGAAACAGACTTTCCTTTAACTAACGTCACATTCTCCTCAAATGAAAAGATTTTACTCTTTATTTTCTCCAGGATTTTACTCTATATTTTTTTCCGAAAAATAAGCATCTCACACGCAGTCTAAGGTGAATGAATAGTTTCTTTTTCTATATTTATTACACTACAATACTTCAGTTCTCCTAATGAATCACACAAAATGAAAAGTGAACGAATAGTTTTGTTGTCTACAATTTCTTATGCTACAATAAATCAGTTCTCCTAATGAATCACACAAAAAAAAAAGTGAATGAACGAATAGTTTAGTTTTCTAAATTTCTTACGCTACAATATTTCAATACTCCTTTATGAGGTACGTGAATGACAACTGGCCAACAACTAGATATAGCAGTGAAATCACCACGTACTTACTTTATACGCTTTAATGGAGCGTTGAGATCCAATCTCGATTTTGTTATTGTGCTAAATATATATATTATAATATATAATTATGTAAAACACTTATGTTAAGTTTACATATTTTTCTTACAAAAATAACATTTAATATGGGAAAGAGTCAGGATGAACAATGGCATTAATTAGGATGAAAAATGACGTTTATATATTACATATGGAGTGTTATAGGCACTGGGTTTTTGAAGAACTCTAGGCTAACAGAAATTAAGTACTTCTTGATTTTTTTTTGAAACCGACATAATTATATGTCCAGTCAATTACTTAGTAAATTTAAGTAAACTATTCACCAATATTTTCAGCACGCCAACTACTGTTAACATAATTTAAAAGACACATACAAAAATATATAGAAAGGATAAAAAAAGCAAAAACAAAAATCCTACAAAGTGCATGACAGCCTTGTGACTTTTGATCTCCTTTCATTTATAACAACTGACTAATAGCACCTTCAATGAGTTTACAGAGGAAAAAGGCATAAAAAATCTCAATCAAGACGAAGGTTAAAAAATCTTTCACTTTAAACTGCTTTTCTGCTACCTACTGAAAGTTATAAAGGGAGGTAATTATGTTTATGACAAAATCCTATTAAAATAAAGGGAGGTAAATAATGTTTTATGACAAAATCTTGTCAAAGGGAGGTAAATATGAAAAAATCTTATCAAACAATAATAGCCGACATACACAAGAAAACCAACATGTAATTTAGGTTCTTGGAAACACTTCAAATTTAGTCAGGGTCAACTTCATACAGTGATACTTACATACTATCAGTGTCTTTTTGATACCTTTTCAACATAAGATACTAAATCTCTCACTAAATAATTTCTAATTTTGAATCATTACAATGCTCAAACCAAAATTAAAAAGTAGTATAGAGTTTGACCATTCTGTGAAAGTCATCTAGACTTACAAAAGGCTCTATAATTGCTTGCCTGCAAATTTTCAAACCATTAAAACCAAAACAAAACAAAGCCTCTGCAAGTCATATAAAATTTGGCCAATCTGCAAATGCACTCTGGACACTATAGTACATCATAAAATTAGTCTTTTGTAGGAGTTTGTTTCTTAACATTATCATACAACACTTCCCAAAATACAAGTACAAAAAATATTTATATCATATTTTATACAATAACATGGACTAAAAAAATTATTTAAAAAAAAAATTATTCAACATATAAAACAAGAACTGTCGGAGGACAGTAAAGCTCGACTATTCGAAAATTTGTCACAAGGGTGTTTCATTGAGTATAATAATGCTTACCTATGAATACATAAAATTGTCCGAAAAGGTACAAACTCTTCAAGTTTCAATACATTCCCTTCAGTAGTTATGGAGATACAAGCTTACATACAAAAACTAATCCAAGATTTTCTAAGTCGAAAAAGGGGCATAATTATGAAATAAAACAATTCAGAGTTATGGGACTTGTACCAATCACCTTAGATAATCACAGAGACCAAGTGTGTGAAGTTTCAATCCATTCCCTTCAGTAGTTATGGAGATACCAGCTTACACGCAAAAACTTAACCAAGAATTTCTAAGTCAAAAAAGGGGCATAATTATGTAAAAAAGCAAATCAGAGTTATGGGACTTGTGCCAATTATCTTAGATAATCACAGAGAACAAGTGTGTGAAGTTTCAATCCATTCCCTTCAGTAGTTATGGAGATACCAGCTTACACGACAAAAACTTAACCAAGAATTTCTAAGTCGAAAAAGGGCATAATTATGTAAAAAAGAAAATCAGAGTTATTGGTACTTGTGCCAATTGTCTTAGATAAACACAGAGAACAAGTGTGTGAAGTTTCAATCAATTCCCTTCAGTAGTTATGGAGATAACAGCTTACATACACAAAACTTAACTAAGAATTTCTAAGTCGAAAAAGGGGCATAATTATGAAAAAAAGCAAACCAGAGTTATGGGACTTGTGCCAATCATCTTAGATAATCACAGAGAACAAGTGTGTGAAGTTTCAATCCATTCCCTTCAGTAGTTATGGAGATACCAGCTTACATACAAAAACTTAACCAAGAATTTCTAAGTCAAAAGGGCATAATTATGAAAAAAAGCAAATCAGAGTTATGGGACTTGTGCCAATCATCTTAGATAATCACAGAGAACAAGTGTGTGAAGTTTCAATCCATTCCCTTCAGTAGTTATGGAGATACCAGCTTACATACAAAAACTTAACCAAGATTTTCTAAGTCGAAAAAGGGGCATAATTATGAAATAAAACAATTCAGAGTTATGGGACTTGTGCCAATCATCTTAGATAATCACAGAGAACAAGTGTGTGAAGTTTCAATCCATTCCCTTCAGTAGTTATGGAGATACCAGCTTACATACAAAAACTTAACCACAGGGACGCCGACGCCGACGCCGACGCCGACGCCGACGCCGACAAATGGGTGACTGCATTAGCTCGATTATTCTGCGAATAGTCGAGCTAATAATCTAGGCCATATGAAACAATTTAAAAAATATTATACATCTACTGTACAGCGGGCTAATTTGCGGGGACTAATTTTCGTGTTTTTTTTTTTTAATGAACTTATTTGCCGTGTTTTAAATTTGCGGAGTACTGAATTCTAAAATTCGATATATTCGTGATGTTAAGTTTAGAAGCAGCCACTGTAGTTTTCACGACGATCAAAATGGATAACGCTGGCATAAAACTTGCGACTTTCCGTGTTGAACTGTTTTACGGAACGTCTGTATATGAAAGTTAACAATCAGTGTTTGAAAACGAAAGCCGATTATTATGAACATTGTTCACCAAATATTCACTCACAATAACCTCATGCGAAAACCATTGCAAGTGTCCATTATGTCTTTTTTCTAATCACTGTTGATTTATATAGACATTACTAGAGTTTTTTATTTTTTACATTTTTTTATATGGATATGCCTGTTGCGTAAGTGGCAAATATTCGTGGAAGATTTGAATTCAAGGTTGATTGAAAACCGAAAAGCGAAAATGAAACATCCGCAAATATTACCCACTGTACAGTATCTATATTAATTGGTAAGTTAATTGGAAGGAATTAATAGAATATTGTACCAGTAACCAGGCCCAGAATTAGGATTTTAGACGAGAAACAAAAAACTGACTAACGCACACTTACATTGGAAATTCTATGTAACTGTTGTTAAAGTAAAAGTACCATATTTTAAAGAAGAATTCTTTCATTTAACAATATTATTACTATAGAAATATAATTTTTTCGTACTTTGCTTTTACCTTAAGAATGTAAATATTGCATAAAAATCTTAAAAAAAGTATCAAATTAGTATCAGTTACAAATATGACTATAATTTATAAAGATGTAAAAATATATCAAATAATTGATGATTTCCAAAATTGCAGCCATAGAGATGGCCACAGAAAAATATTAAATAATGAAATACACAAGAAAACAGAAGAAATTTCATTTTTTTCCTCATTCTGTCATAAAAACTTAATTTTGTCTAAGTTATCAGTTTAAAGCCATTCATGTTCCTGATTTCAATCAGTAGTGAATTTTTTTATCTACGTGTTCTAAGTAAAATAAAATTCTTAAAAAAAAATTCATCTACATTTCAAAACTGAGTCTGTGTGGTAACAAACATAACCTTAAGGTTTCTTAAGATATTCTAATTTAAAAAGCAAATAAAACATTTCATAAAAAGAAAAAATCTATACAATTGTTAAACAATTATCAAAGTACTGACAGTTAGGTTGACAACAAGTCATTGATGTAACATAAATACACTTACAGCCTCTCCATGTCTCTGTAGAAAATGATCAGTAACAGATAATTTTAGTAAAATATCAAAAATTTCTTCATCAGGAGCCATATTCTGAGAGTTAATTTAATTTCGTGGTCATAAAATTTTGTGGTTTTGTCAAAAAGGGCATTTTCATGGGCATTATATTCATTGATTGTCTATTTGTGCAAAAAATAAATGTGACGCAAAATAATCTTACAGCAGACAAAATGAAATTTCAATGGGTCTTTAAATGACTCTCATGAATTGTCATGTTCATGAAAACCATGAAAATAAGTGCCCTACAAATAGTAATGATTTTGCAAATTCAAAGTGGGACATAAGTTCAATACACATTATAGGTGGTGTATGGGTAAAAACAAAACAGTAACACATCTAGGAAACTCACTGTATCGCTTGAAACAACACTTATTTCATAATACCTTCTATAACTTTCCATAACACTTTCTAAAGCACTAAATAAGAAGTTATGTAAAGAAACCACATTTTTGGCTCTGTATTAAATATATACTCACTGTTTTGTTTTTTGAAATCTGCTTCCCTTGGTGTCTTCAAGACCAACTTTAACCATGCCTTTTCTACCTGGTGTCACTGGAAGAATATAAAATTATTTCTTTTTCACTCACATTACTACACATATTAGATTGTTGGTTTTTTAAGTCAAATCAACACCATAAAGGTTGTATGGTAACTTTCCAGCTTGTTTGATGATGGAGAAAGACCTCAGATGTTCCTGGATTATTTAAGGAATTCCACTGTGCCTGTTCTAAGTTTAATAAGGTCCATCTGCCTTTTCAGGCACTGAGAGTACAGACCCCGTGTAGAACCACTGACGTTTTTTTAGCTAATTATTGGGATAGTTTCCTCACAGTAAGAGAAATCAAAGGTCTCTGGCAGGATTGAACCTGCAGTCGTAAGGTGCAAGTGATCCTAAGTCTGTTCACTAATACATCAAGTAACAAGGCCCTTTCACTATGAGTTAAGGTGATGTTTTCAAACTTAAAAGTACTTATACGTCAGTGACTATAAAAGGAAGAGTTTAAAATACTTTTCAGCATAAGTATCAAAACTAGTTTATTTAGTAAACACTCATAAGTTCATACATTATATAAAAATAAAACTTGAAAATGCAATTATCTGTAACAATTTCTTTATGTGATGCTTAAAATAAGTCACACAGTTCTTGCTATTTTTGTTTCATGGAATTTTTTTTTATCAAAATAAACAGTCCTATATCACTTTTAATTAAAAACACTTTTAATTAAGATGGTATCTTGAAATAATATCTTTTTCTAAATATTTTAATAATTTATTTTTTATCTGGGAATAGTATCAAAATCATATAAATCAGCTATAAAGATTATTTTAAGCATAACCTTCTTTTGAAATAACCATCTATATAAAACAGCAAACAAAATTTTATTCAAATTGGCAGACTATGTTTGTTTAAGATTGTTCATTATTCAGTACGAAAAAGGCCACAAGGGAATAACATGCTATAAATACAGTTCCTATTATATACAAGTTACAATGTTATGTACAATAACTGATATACAAGCAAATAGAATGTAAACTGCGTTTCTATAATGTTATCATACTGGAAAGAATTGTTGGGAAAAAATATTAAAATTTTTATATTCAATAAAATTATTCACCATTTGTTGACAAGGGTAGAAAATAATTGTTTCATACCTTGTCTTCTTAAGATATCATAAAAAAAATAGTGATTTTATTAACTTTTTTCTTATAACTGTTATATTTACAATGCAAGTTTCCAAGATTGAGTTAAGTCAATAAAATTAAGACTTTCATGCCATACTGTGGGAGCAACACATCTGGTGACACTCTGCACATTTATTCAGGCACAAAATAAAACCTGGGTAAGATCACCAGCCATTAAGTTGTTCTTGGACCACAAAACAGCCAAATCTGGTATTTGCATTAAGTTTAGTTCAGGTACTATCTTTAACCTTAGTAGAATGAAACGTTTTAGGATCAGTATTAAATAAGTTCTAAACATTAGACTTCTTTTTACTTAATTAATAATCATTCTTAAAGATTTTTGATGTTAAAAAGCTGTTTTCATATACTGTAAATTCAAAGTCTGGCACACAAAAACTTACTCTGATCATGATGGTGATGATGTTGATCGGCCTCCGGTTTGTCGCTGTTCCGCGCCCTAGCATATTCCGCTCTCTTTATCTTTACTTGTAACATGAGTAAGACCTTCTCAATCATCCCAGGTTTACATAAACATAAATCATTTATCACATCATCGGCTAACTCAAAGTTCATTTTGGAAAACACTTTTCTGAAAATTCAAAAACAAAATTTTATTGATAATTTTTCTACAATAAACCTCCTTTTCAGTTACAATTATTAAAGCAATCATTTTTTTCTCCAATAAACCTCATTTTTAATTACAGAGCAATCTCTTATTCTTTCTCATGCATATGGACTGGCTGCTAATTGTGCCATAAAAAGTTTTTGACTTGTAGCAGAAAGAAAACACGAAAATCAGACCAATATTTGTCACATACCATACATGTTACATAACTTTAATAATACAAGCATTTCTTTGATTTGTTAAACAATTTACCAAAAATAATACAAAACTAACTTTTAAGTTCTCATAACTTAGCTCATATGAGCTAATGGATAGTAACATTTATCTTTTTTCTTTATTTTAAACATAATAAAAGCAAAATATAGTAATAATGTAATAATAAATATATACATCACTTACAGAAAAGCAGAAAACTGTTCAAGTTAGTATTTAAAATACAATTAGTTTATTAATTAGAATCAAGAAAAAAAACAGGACTTGATTTGACACATGCAATCTTTACAATTTTGAAAAGGGAATTTTAAAAAAATATCTTTTACGAGTATCATGTTAATTAAATTTAAAAAGGGTACAAAAGAATGGTGGGTTATCAAAATGAAGTTAACAGTCAATTAATAGAATAGTCCAGTCATATTGTATGTATTCAATGCTTGTGACCTTCACCTTCAGTTCCAGCATTTTTAAAATTAAATCAGAATAATGCTAATTACTGAATATGTCAAAAAATTTATAGAGCCAACATTATAGACCCTCAGGTCAGACAAAACTTATGTGGAGGCTGGCATGCCTTAACAATTTGTATATTGCTGGCAAAAGCTTAAATCACTTTCGGTCCAAGTAAATTATATGTTAACTTAGAGCATGAACCCATAAATATATAAAATGCAATATCAAATTCAAGCCCTGTTTTTTGTTAATCAGAAAATAAATTCAAAACTTTCAATAGCAAGTTCGTATGTTATAAGCATAAACATGAACATTTTAAAAATTTCTACAAAATACAGAAAGAACAGAATGATAAAAAAGACAAAGGTAATTATTATGAAAAAGTAGTTTTTAAATATGCTATCAAAATAGTTTGTGAATTTAACCATTTTCCTGTTGAATTTTATAATGGATTGCCCAGCATCCAATTTTGGCCCTGTCCATTATATACTTTAGGGATATCAAGATGAAAATTTATATCAGCACACAGAGCCCTGTCAGATACTACCAATTTGTACAGACCCACCATTTTGCCGACTATGCCTCAATCTATACTTGTGACAAGGCTTTTTATTTTCAATTCTAGCACTTTAAGGGCTAATACCATTGAAAAACAATGGAAAATGGTTTGTGCACAGTGAAAAGTATACAAATGTATAGAAAAATGAAGAATAAATTAATTTTAAATTTGATTTAAATATGGTATGTTGAATAGCATACTCATGTACAATTAAAATCTTCAGTTTGAAATCTTAAGGTTTGCAAACATTATACTGACATCCACTTTAAATGTTCTTATGTAAATAAAATTGAAATACTTCACCTAAAGCTTTTAACAGATCATATAAATTCAGTAGTTTTGAAAAGCGGTGAAAACGGGCCAACATGATTTGCGGAATTTTAAAGTATGATAAATGCTACCAGCAGGCTAAGAGTTAATGTGAAACGAATCTCAAATTGTGTGCTTTAAGTTTCAATAAATTATTTTAAAAAAAGAAAAGAAAATAAATTGGACGTCAGTCCTTTTAATGCTAGAACCTAATAGAAAATGCATAACACCGGTAGAAAACAAATTACATTGGCATCCTTTCAAGAAAGGTCTGAATACCAAAAACAAAAAAAAATGGAGAAATATTAAATTTGTGGAAAAAATCCTGCATCCCTTGAACACTATTTAAATCATGGTCAAACTTTAAAAGAAAAACAAAATACGTACAAATTTGCTTGCAGTACTGTACACAAAATATTATCAAATATTCATCGATTTTTCCTATCATTAGATTAGATTAAAAAAATTAAGAAAAAATACAAATTTGTTTACTTCGTACATAAATATAAATTCATATTTTTTTTCTGACCAAAGAGAAATATCTACGCTTTTGAACTGTACACAAAAACACTAAAAATACATCAATTTTCATCCAATCACCTATGAGGTTAATGGTAACATAAAATCAATCCATCTATTCATTTTTACCTGTTCAGGTAATACCAGTTTTCCTTTTTTTTGTTTGTATTGTTGGCTGTGGTATAGTTGTGTAAATCAACAAGGCCTTCATCCGGGAAAAAATGCCTTACACATTCAGCCACTAACACTGAAAAAATCGAGTAACACCATGCGGAAAAAAAAATCGAGTCACGCCAAACTATTGAGCTAACGTTACATGTACATGTAGTGCACTAGCAAAAAAATCTGCAATATCTCCATCCACTCTGACGACCTAACTATCAACAAAAACGCCAATGTAAAAACCCTCTGTTCAACTCTGTTCAATAAAAAAGAAAATTTGTGAACTATATGATTATACTGTTAAAGCGATAAAAAAGACAGGCTGAAACTCTTGATTAAATATCGTGGTGCTATTGCTTTGGATCTGAAGTGAACACAACATAACTGACCTTTGAACCCAAAGAGTGAATGAAATAAGCTGAACAAAAGCATGAGTTTTTTAAATGGATGAAGGCAATGAGATGAAGGCTGTTCATGCAATTGTTAAATATTTCTATCATTATATTACTTTGGTTTATGTTAAAAAGTGCCAAACTTGGCTAAATTGTTTTTATGTAAAAAGAACTCAAATAATAATGAGTGCGATTGGTTTTTAGACACAGTAGAAATATTTTTCCTTAATTAAGTCATCCTTAAATCATAATCATAATATGCCTCGGCATAAATGCAAGTTAAATTTTTAAAGTAAAACTTGCATGAACCTCCTATCACAATTATGCAAAAGAAATTAAAATTTAACAACCCTAACTAACATTTGAAAAATTAAAAAACAAAAATACAAGATCTCCTTGCACTTGGTAAATTTACTAAGAACTTGAAACAATCTTTAGGTGTTATTGATTTAGAAATTTATAGAATTGATAATCGGCCTCGGTGTATTTAATTTATTTAAGCACTTATAGACTGATAATCTCTTTGTTTTAAGTACTTAAACTAATACATCTGATGGCTTTCTTGTTAGTGAAATGTTTTTAAAGCCAGTATATTGTTTTAACTAACAAAAAGTCATTAGTAAAAGGTATCAGAAGCCAATATATATTGTTTTAACTAACAAAAAGTCATTAGTAAAAGGTATCAGAAGTCAAGGAATTTGTTTTAACTAATCATCATTAGTAAAAGGTTTCTTAAGCCAATATATTGTTTTAACTAACAGGAGTTAACTAGTCTATCTACTTAAAATGGTGATCAGTTAAAGTAAAAATCAAAGAAATTACAATATCTGGATAGATCTGAGGACTTTCATTTCAATTTATACAATCCCCACCCTGCTGTCCCCACCCCCTCAAACGGAGATGCCCTGCTGTAAAACTGGATGTGTCCATTGTTATTTTAAGTGATTTTTAGCAGACCACTAATTCCAGACATTGCAATCTTCTTTCTTTACAATATTTATTGATGCTTTGAAGATGGATGAAAAACAACAAGGATGATGGATAAAAAATAAGGCAACAAAAAATGTTTGTTTCTGGTCCCCAGACCCTGGTCCCCAGACCCAAAATGAAAAATAAAATGAGCTAGACATTAGAACAAAAAAAATAACCACATTCAAGCAAAAACCATGAAATGCAAAATAATACAAATGTAATAAAATAAATAACTAGTAAAACTATTAAAAAACAAATTCTTCTATAAAGAAAATGATCCCGAAGACAAGGAACAAACATTTCATCTGTATGCCCTATAACAAACAAACATGAAGAGTTTTGAATTTCTGTGACACACAGATGGAAGAACCAGTAATAACTTGCTTTGAAAACTAAACTCTTTGTACTATACCTGTTAAGGAGGTCCCAGTTACATTGTTTTGTGCCTGTTGAATTAGCTGGGCAATAGTTATGCATTTCAACCATTTTAGGGAAAAAATGGTGCATAATTTCCGCTACTAGAACTGAAAGTACAGGGTGCAATGAAATATTAAGAAGGTTTACCCTCTCAATGGCTTAATCATGATTCAGATTTTTTTGTTAATCTGGTTTCTGAGCCCAATATCCACTGGAACACTAAAACCTAAACTGGTAAATGATGCTGTTATCAGATGGAAATGAAGATTAGCTCTATACATTTACATGTAGATATAATTATGTACATGTACTTGCATTAAAGATTGCAACAAAATGTACAACACAAACACAAGATCATGCTTGTCTATCTGGAATGTCATGGAATGATGATGTATAAAAAAAGCCACATGTCAGTTATTCTTGAAGTTACAGCCTCTCTTACAAAAGAGTAGTCAACAATTTTGTAAAAATATTTTGTTTTCTGTATAATTTATTATAATCAGAACTTAAGCTTGACAGAATAATTCATTCTATATGTAAATGACAATAAAAATTTCAATCACACAATTATGATAAACAATTTACATCTTAAAACTATGACATGTGGCTTTATAGGTTTGTTAAAAGCTATGCTAGGAATTGTTGAAATCTATACTTCATATGCACAGCCATTTATAGTTTAGACCTAAAAAGAACATGTGTCTTGATTGATTTCTGCATTTGAAAATGACCTAAAAATCACTTCCAGGGCTGAATAAATAAATAAGTAGGATGGTGACCCCACTTTAATCCCTTAAAATTCATTTTAAACACCCTTTTTAATTGTGCAAAATTTAAGAAAGTCTGCCCTTCTATCCGTATGTAGAAATTGTATAAGAAAATGTTATTAAGCATTTACAGAACTGATGGCAAATATAATACTTTTAATTTCTTAATTCATACTCTTGCAAAAAACTCCTTGAAGTTTGTTTATATGCCACACATTCCATGAAAAAAAAAAATGTTGGAGTCTAAACTAAACATGACTGTGCGTTAATATTAAATTATTATTTTTACATTTTTTGTATTTGAACAAGATGTTTTTTAACAATTCAAGAATTAATGTTTTTTATTTTATTAGGCAACTATCTAACTTATATTACTTCATGAAGTAAAAGATTATTTAAAAACCAACACTAATGATGCGTACACTTCAAACCCAAAGCAGCAGATCAGTTATGCAACTGTCGATTGCTATAACTGAATAAGTTTGAGAACAGTCAAGGGAATTTCTGGATAAAAAAAGCAAGGGATAAGCTATATTTGTAGACAATTTAAATAAGTGGAAATGTTCCATATATCTAGCATCAAAGATATCAATTCCAATCATTAGCTGACCAAATTTGTAAGCTGAAATGAAAACTCTGCAGCAACTTCTTGTCTGTTTTTATCTACAAATTAAATCTTCTTTTCATAGACGAAATTTTATTAAGAATTGTAACACATGTATACAGAATAGCAGAGAAAGGTTTTACTTGCAAAACACAACACAAATATAGGGCAAATTTATAGCAGAGTTTTTCTACTCTAAAATATATATATATATATATATATATATACTACTATATGTACTCATCCACTTAAGCTTTAAGTCTTATGAAGATCAAGTTCAAAGGACTGTAAAAGTTTGTTGACAATAATCCCAGTAGCAATTCTCAAAATTATTTTATGGTAAAGTCAATGTTATACTTGAGACATTGTATGGGATGAGTACATATATACGAATGAGATGATTTTATAGCCATTAAAAGAATGAATTTATCGAGACAGAATAGATGAAATAAAATATATAATGCAACCACCAGTTATTTTTTTCAACTGCAATTTTTTTATTATGCTATAAATAGATTAGCAATGGGGTTCAAAAAACTGGCAAAGAACTTCATAGGCAGAAACTATATTGAAATGAACCATAACTGACAAATATTTTAATAAAAATCCATTCAAGTAAAACCTTTCTCTTGCATTATAAGTTTGTTTGTTTGAATGTAAGTAATGCATAGTTGAAACAAAACTTAGTTCCATGCAGCAGATGCTATTAAAAAACACTAAAGCATTAATTCTGAATGATTATTTTTTTCCAATCAAAACACCAAGTTTTTTTTAAAAGCTTAACTCTCAGTATGAGGTTTACATCATCTCCATGGTTTCAGGAGATTGAATAGACCTTTAAGTTACATTAAAAATTTTAAGTTTTGCCAAACCATGCATTACTGTTGCATATAAATAAAATCTGAGCATTATATCATATACAATGTATTTATCTCTTTCATTTTCATGATCTTTTCATCCAAAACTTAGTGCTAAAATAAAGGTCAATGATCTTTAATAATCATTTTATTTTACAGTTGATGATTTAAAGACATATATGAATATCTTAATATTTACCCAGATTTTATAAAGTGAACAGTTCAATTATTGTTCATTCCAACATCAGGAGATTTTTACCTGAAGTACCATGACTGTAATGGTACTCTTACAGTCAATACATATAATACCTGTTTAATTCTTTCCAGTTGTCCTTTTTAAGTTCAAATTTATTTGCAGATGGTAATACCATTCCTGTATATTTTTCTTTCGTAAAATGCTTTATAATCTCTAGCACCATCACTATTCCAATAAAACAAAAATAAACTTGACCTATAATCAAGTGGTTTAACTTATTACCTATGCCAATACCACAGTCATATTTATGTTTTTGTCAATACCTATTAATGCATTTGTCAAAAACATAAAATGAGCCATTTATATACAAGTAATTGTGCTTGTAAATTCTGATTTCAAAGAAAATGTCATGTCAATCATGAACAGGATCACTACTACATGGCCACATTTTTATTTTTCAAAGTTCACGTTTTATTGAATAAGAAATATTTTGACATTAAAGTCTTTCTTAGTTAATTTAGATTTTCAGAAGCTTTTCTGTCTTATTTCAAAATTTTAGAATTTCAATTAATATGTATCTATATAAATAGAATAATTATGTGTATCATAAATTAAAATTGAATGTTGGACACATCAGCCAATCAAATGAACAAATGACACAGATCTATCATGTGTTGCAGATCGGATCTGAATATATGTCACAATGGTATGGTTGGTACCCACCCATAACATGGCTTGCCAAGTTGCCACAAACGTCAGGATACCAAAGGGATGGATATTCCAATCTCAACTTCAAACAAATGTCAGATACTTTTTTGCATTTTCTACACCATATTCTATCATTTTTAAATGGTTAACCTTAGTAAATTAATTTCTAAAGGAAAATAATGTCATTTAGGAAATTAATGTCATTTCCAGACTATGTCATTTTGGAGCACATGGGGTGACACCTTATGGCAGATGAAATTTCGAGCATGTTTAAAATTTATGAAAACACCAGTCTAATATTAAGATATCTAGAATGTTCAGCCTTATGACCATTTCAATAACAAAATCTAGATTTCTTTATAGCGAGCTCGACGAGCTGGCCCGAAGGGCCTGCTCGCAAAGCGAGCTTTACGGTAACGCGAGTACCTGGTTAAGTGATGGTTTTGAAAACTTTCGTCCAAAGTACCGAATTGGACACATCGCAACCTTTCGAATTTAAAGATAACGATAAAAACTGAGGAATTCTGACTGAAAACGGATGTGTAGACTGGTCACCCGCGCCATCTATGGGAACCATAATTGGGCAGGGAACCAGAATAACGGAAGCTGTGTATAAAAAATGAAAAATGAAGGCGCCATTTTGTTTGAAATCTGATAAATAAAAACAATTTTTTTGTCGAATTTTATTGTGAAAACTATCTAGAATGAAAGAAAATGGTCTAACTAAGAAAATGAATCCGAACACCAATATCTTTTATTCAGTCGTTAACGCTGTACAGACGTTGAAAGTATTGTTTACATGACGTCACAATGTAGCGCCAAACAGCACGTGCAAAACAAACAAATCAAGTACGCTATTTTAATGTCGCAAACGTTTTCAGTTTTACATTTATTTCACTTTAAATAATCTTTATTTCGCTTGAAAAATTATAGAGTGAAATAAAATAAACAAAGTTTTATCAACGTTTTCAAAACTCGTTATTCATTTCACGACAGGGGCGGGGCCATATTTAACACAGTACGTGTGACGTCACACGCACTCGTTACTGCATTTGAAATAAAAATAAGCGATTATTTCATACTATTTCACGTAAAAAGTACATCGAGCTCGCTTTGAGGCTTTGCCTTTTTCATATTAAATTTTATAATTCTTTTTCACACAAAATCATGAAAAATATACATATGAAGATAAATTTACCTCCGTCAGAAAAATCCCTGCTAATATTTCGTTTTGGTCTTGAAAGTGGAATACTATCCACCCATGCATATAATGATTCCAGTTCTTGTTCATCGAGCTTTTCCTCCATTTTATCATGCTCCGAAGGAGTCGATGTTTTTCCTCCTTTTGTTTTGGAAGTCATGACTGTTTTTGATAAGGAACTAGTTCATAAAAAAATATGACACTTATTGTAACTGTAAGTGTTATAATAAGTCCAAAATGTGGGAATAAAACAAAAATATTATTTTTCGTCGTGCAGAGGATCGGACATTTGTTTATCTCGGTAACGAGGCTTCCCACAATTCCAAAGCTTTGATTAAGCCCATTGCATGCCGTTATGAAACCGGACAAAACAACAGGTGCCCGTTTTACCCTCAGTGATTACGTTTATTTTTTTAAGATTATCATTTATATTTTAATGCATAAATCACCCCATTCTTAACCCTGTTAGTTCGACAACAGTTTGTGAAGTCCACAATATATAGATATGTATTGATTTTGTTAAGAATTACAGTACTGTATTACGTCGTTTCCCAAAAGCAAAGCGTTATTAACTCTTCTTTGCACCCTTCTGTAGTAATGGCTACAATCATTTATTGAATATAAAAAACAATGCAAGGTGTTAGAAATAGTGATAGTGTACTGGACCTCTAAAGCTTCTCAGTCCACCCGATATGGCATAGGACGTGAAGGATAAAAAAGATGCAAAACCAAAACACCTTAAAAAAAGAAACCTGTAAATAGTCTTCAATAATTATGTTCATGGTTTTCGTCAAGATAAATGACAGTTGGTACTTTAAAAACATGAAAAATATACTTAGGGAGTTGTCAAAGTGCATGTAGCCAGCGCTGATTTGAATCCAGTGACTGTCAGCGTTGACTGCAGACTTAAAATATGGAAAGAAATGAATACTTCTATTGTTACATGTATTTGATGAAAAAAGATGGTAGGCTTGATTGTGGTAAAGCCTTAAAAAGTCTGGTGTATGACTGTAAGTCTTGATTCATATCTCCTACTACAACATTATTGACTACCTATTTTGTAGAACATAACCTATCTGTTAACATACGTTTTGCGCCTCCTTTCTAGGGATTGCAACTTTAATGATGACAGGAAATTGGTCACACTCCGTGTAAATTTAGAATAATTGTTTTTGTTGCTAAACTGGCAACGCCTGGCTGTTTTACCTGATTTAACTTTATCAATATCTTTCTTCTGATGATGGTTCCGCACATGAGAATATTATTCTAGAGTTGGTCTTACGAACTGAATGAAGATTTGAGGACCCTATTAAATTTAAAGTTTGACTAGCTTTCGTTGTTACTTTATTCTTATGTGTTGACCAGGAGAGATATGTAGTGACTTTATCTCCTAAATAAATAATTTTGTTTTCAATCTGAAAAGGTTGATTATTTAGACTAAGAGTATATTGGGTTTTTAAAGGTTTATGCGGCCAATAATATATATGACATGGCATAAAATTTCTCAATGTTAAAAGGCATCTTCCATTTCCGCATCAACAACGACAAACTGACTAAGTCCTTCTATAACTTTGCAGCATCACTGGGAGAGCTTATCGCTCCAAAGATAATTGCTTACCTAAAATGGCCTTATATGGCCTTATCCTAAATTTATGTGCCATATGTATTGATGCTTATAGTAATCTATTGAAATGAAAACAAAAAGTCAAGCTAAGTATTACAAGTCAGCTTCCACTATATGACAAGTTTTCAAACGATTGAAAAAACGAAGTCTTTTTTAAGTTTTAACCGATGGTTTGATTAAAATCTAATCAATGTAAACAGACCACCAAGAGTGTCAAACTATCCCCATTGGTTCAAAAGGACACTTATGAAGAGTTTAAAACTTGGTATACATTTGTAAAACTACAGAATAAATAGATGTTGATGCTGATAGAATGTATATTCCAGTTTAAGTCTCGAGCATCAAGAACTTGTTCAAAAGCAGCAAATCATCTTATATCGTTAATTCATTTTTTTTCTGTAAATACGAGAATAATTTTATTCAAAACATTAGTTTCTTCATTTGTAACTATTGTCATATTATCTGTCACTTTTTAGTCAGTCAAACTTTGACAAACTTGGTTGTTCTTAAAATGGTTAGATGATTTTGAAGGTTAAATTGAAAACAACAAATGACGGTAAGAAAAGTTACAAATATACAATGTAACAACTTTGCCAGTCAGTTCATCAGACAAGCTTTATCTAAGATCTAGCTTCAAAAATGATAAATAAAAACTTTTTTAAAAATGTTACATGAAATTGTTGACCTACTGTATAAAATACTTTTAGAGTTCACCAGATTCTCCTATTAATTAGGCCTTACCCATCACTTTTGGTGCTTCCTTTAATCCTTATTAATTTGGGTAAATAAAAAATCATAATATTTCACGAATGACAAAATAATCAATACATTTTATAAAAGAATAACAGGTACTACATGCATATCATTCTGTATAATTTTATCTCGTCAAAGGATCATTGCACTGAGTACCAATAAAATTTGGTTTTAACTCACAATAATGTTGGAGCACAAGTTTTCATTCATTCTCGTATAAGTTGGTGTGAAGAGATCATTTAGACATCTTAGGTGAAAATGCGAGCTTTTCGTATTCCATAGGTGGCGCGATATAGCTCGGTTGGTTAAACCACTAAGTATCACTCCTGAGGTCCCAGGTTCGATCCTGGGTTACACCCTTGCGATTTTCTTAGAGACACTTTCAGCGTTTCCTACCTACCTAGAGGTGTACTGGTAAGAAATCAAGGTAATCCTCGCATGTAATGGTACCAGTGCTTTACACTGGGCATGTAAAAGAACCAAGTGGGCTATTCAAAAAGAGCCCAGATTCCCTTGTATCTCATAGCTGTCTCTTTAATGTATACAATGTATACCTGCTTAGTGTGATCTAAACGATTTTAAAGCAGTATGCCTTGTCCGCTATATACCGGAATACAGTATTTAGTGTGCTTCTCTAACGCTCTAAAGATAATGACCCTTGTTGGGTGATTTGGTGTTACTATAAAACTACTTTTATAACAAATTGAAGAAAAATAAATATATCTTTTCAATAAAAAAAAAAACAACTTGTGTTTCGTTTTTGTTTCACACTACCAAAAAAAAAAACAACAAAAAAAAAACAAAAACAAGTACCTTTTGGTTCGATTAAAAAACAGATTCCATTAACCGAAATTGTAAATCAAGCACACCTTTTGTTTACGTTCAACATGGAAACGGGATAAAATTTTCTCTTTTTTTAAAAATTTATAAGTTATCATGTCCCTTGAAACTCAGACACAGACAGGCGCTTCTGGGTCTGCACGACCTTATCGGAGACGCCGGACACGCGTGGGAAATGACAAGAAAATACAAGATGACGAATTCATGGCCGCCGCAATCGGCGATGTTGAGTGGCTAAGGCAGAGTTTGAGAGACCAAAAACTTGAGCATGGGCAGATTAATTATGACAAAAATGTAATTTGATACATTTAAATACATGCCAATACTATATGAAAATCCAAAGAAATGACATATGCCCAGTCAATCATGCTCCCTCCCCCATCCATAGCAGTGACTGACTGTTGAGTATCCTATTTCCTACATGTACATACAAATTGTGTGCAATTTCTTTTTAATATATAGACGATGCTCAATGCTTTGTGTAAAGATTGACATCTGTGTAATACGAGTTTGTAAAGTCTGTCGGTCTTGCAGTTGAATATTGAGATAACCAATTTCCTAATGCAGGTGACCTGCACACATCCTGCAGAACAATCAGATGAACTATCGTTAACTGACGCTGTACTTTACCCACTGAGTTGGAAATAATCCCTTTTAATCTTTTTGTGAATATGTTACTAACTTACTGTTGACTTGTGAGTTAATTGAACCACACGAGAAAAGAGACTAGTTCAATACTTAAAAAGTTACAATGTACTTTGACTTAATTGGGACCACCATATGAATGTAAAATTCAGTTCCTTGGACCAATCAAATGGTTATGTCAAAACTTGAAGCCACACACTGCATGACAATTATATCCTGTTTAGTTAATACACATTTATTTTAGTTTGATTGTGTTGAAAGCTTTAATTGAAACACTCTCAAATCCGTTCCTGGAACCAATCAGTACTAAGTAATGAATGTAAAATTTCTTGTTCAAGGAAACTACGGCTTTGCTGCTGACAGGGGTTGAACAATGCGGTCAGCAATCCTAAGATTACTAGTCCAACGCGTTAACCACTTGGCCAAGCTGCCACTCTATATCCTGTTTCATTTTTAGTGTGATTTCAGTTACAATATGAATTTACTGGTGCATAATTACAAATTACGGTAAAAAGTGAATTGTGAATAAAAAGGAATTTGGGCCAGCACAGCCACTGCCCTAAAACTCTGTCACAAAGTCAAATCTGTTCACTCTATATTTTATAGTATTATTGATTTATGGTGGCCAGTCTGTTGACATGTGCTGAGTTGGTATATGGGTGAGTTATTATGCTCGACATAAGAAAAGTACCTTTACAACCCATTATTGCTACAGATGACATTGGGTCTTAAATGTACTATGTTATGCTGTGATGGATAAACTTTCATATAAAATCTCTCAGAAGAATCTTGTAAAATACAAAATAAATATGTAGAATATAATACACCAAAATTTTGTACCAAATTGTAAATTTTTGTAATATAATTAGTTTTAGTGAACTTTTCCTGAATGTCAATGGGAATTTATTCAGGAAAATGATATACTTGTGGAATTAAATGCCAAGGAGTTGCATTATAGATATGATTCAATTAATTATGAATTTATTATAATTTGATTGTCTTGGAAGCTATAAGTTTATTGATCAAAACTCTTGCGAATCTGTTCCTGGAACTAACCAAAACTTCAATAGCAATAAGTGGAAAGTTTCTTGCTCAACAAAATATCAGTTTGCCTGTTGGGGTTTGAATAAATTTGGCCAGCAATCCTTAGATTACTTGTCTGACGTGTTAACTACTCGGCCACACATATGATCCAGTTATACAAGTTAACAGATTAAGTTCTCCTGCAGTGTCATTGTATGGGTCACTTGCCATGGTTATAATTGCAGTAATTCTTTAACTTTCCTATTTGGTTGGTTCTTCAAAAAAAAAAGAACTTCTTATACAAACAAAAAACAAACAAAAATTCAGTGAAGGCATAAAATGGTTTGGTTTAAACATATTTATTCAACATCACATTTATATGTGAATAATATTTACAAAATTTATATATAATACAATTTGGTAAGGGTGTAACGGTTTACCGGCATACCGATATATTGCAATATGAAAAAATAAATTTCGTACCGCAGTATGATTTTTTGAGAACCGGTATTTTATAAAAATCATAATTTTCAATTAATTGCCTTCTAATTTTGTACAAATTGCTCATAAAATCATTAATTGGCGCCAACGTAAGATAAAAATATCCAACAACTAGTACACTTAAAAGTCAATAAGCGGCAGCATAACCCAGATGTGAAAGGTTACACGCGACTAGTTTTGTTTATTAAATTGTGTGACACTACTTTCTATTTATTCCTTACATTTTTATTAAGTTTCTACTAAGAATATATACATATAATAATATTATATAATGTTACTCCATCTTTTCATCAAAACATATACCCGACAATACGTATTGCAATATATTGCAATACGCTTTGGCAAAATGGCAATATATTGGAATACGGTTTTTGCTGTATTGTTACACCCCTACAATTTGGGATGGGGCAGAAAGCTATTAAAGCTTATGACTGTCCTTGTCATTAAATGTTTATTTAATATACTGTTAAAATAAACATTTCAATAGCTTTCTTCTTCTCAGGATGTCTGAGATTCTATTATAGTTTGAACTTCCACACCTTAACCTAATATTTTGCTTCTTTCAGGGACTAACAGCTTTACATCTATCAGCAATACATGGTAGATTAGAATGTTTGAAGCTTCTGATTGAGAAGTACAAGTTTGACATCAACTTACCAAGCAGCACTGGATGGCGGGCCATTCATCTATGTATCAGTAATCAAACTGGAAAGAGGGCCATTCAATGTCTACAATATCTCCTTGATAAAAAAGCAGATTCTTCTGTGTAAGTTAACTATTATTGACTGTTAGCTTGACTATACGAACAATTGTACTTCTCCCGCATTGGCATCACTCTTTAGTTAAGTTTTTGTGTGTAAGTTGGTATCTGCAGAACTACATAAGGGAATTGGTTGAAACTTCACATACTTATCTGAGAGCAAAATGTGACGCTGTCCAATTCCCTTAACTCTTATATGTATTATTAATTTAGAAAATATTAGAAAAATCTACATTATCCAGTCTGTTGTTTTACTATCAAGAGCTGACAATAGCCGAGGATGCTGTCCTACTGACAGCTCTTATCTAACCCAAGTTTTGCAGAAGGTTATTCTGTTCAGGACTATTCTGTTCAGGACAGTCTGTGAATGTAGTGGTAGGGATAGTGTTTCAAGAGAGGACAAATTAGTTTCTTGTTCTTTTGATTTCAATGAGCTCATTATCTAAAGTGAAGGAGTTGTATATGGGTAGAAAATTGGACTTATTTGACTCATAATGAGGTTGTGGGTTAGACTTCCACCAGAAGTGAGATTTTCTATTGACTTTTGCAATCCACTCTGGATAAAACACCCAGGATGCAGTCATCTGATGTATCTTAAAATGCTAGGTCAAGGTCTCTAAAGAGAGGTTAAATGGGAAAACAATCAAACAAATAAACAAAGTGTGAAAAATTGTAAGCATGTGCAATGATTTTCATGAAGAAGTGTTCTTTATTTGAATTAATATACCAAAATAATAACCAGTCGGATAAACATAATTTCTAAAGCATGCATGTGCAATATGTCTACACGAAGATATTAATTTGGAATCCACTTTGGCTAAAACACCCAGGATGCAATCATGGTGTATCTTAAAATGCTATGTCAAGGTCTTCAAAGAGAGGTTAAATGGAAAAACAAACAAACAGAAAGTCACAAATTGAAAACCTGTCCAATGCTTTATTCATGTGTTCTTTATTTAAACTAAACCAAAATAAAATCCAATTGAAAGAAATTTTTTACTCAGAATGCATGAATTAATCTGTATCTCATGAGGGACAATACTTATTATTGTATGATTACAGAGGTAATGATGATGGTATAACACCGCTCCATCAGGCAGCTAGTGAAGGACATGTACAATGTCTTAAGATGTTAATTGATCATGGAGCTAAAATAGATGGAGAAGATTGTAGGGGACATACCCCACTTGATCTGGCAAAACTCTGGGGCCACAGAAAATGTGCAAGGTTAGGATTTAGTTTTTCCAAAAAATTATTTTAGTATAGGAAGCTTTAATCTTATAAATAAACTCTCAAAAAACTGTTCCTGGAACAGACCTGGGGATGATTACATTAATCAGTAATTGATTTAATTACAATTACTTTCAGATTTTATTGTAATTGATTACAATTAATTACTCAGACTTGCCTCTGTAATCAATTAAATTACAATTACTTTGAGAAAGTAATTGATTGATAATTGATTACATTCCATGTATAACTATAAACAAAAGTTTCTTAATGCTATTTAATATATACATTATATACATTATATACACAAAAAAAAAGGATTTCCAGCTCATCAACAGTCATCATTTTAACACACTTTTAGTTACTGTCACATCACTTTATCATATTTTAGCATTGCACTTTAGCATCATAAGTTCATGAAACCGTCTATCAGTCAGACTGCATCTATCAGGACGGAAAATTTTGCCTGTAACACTAAACAAACGCTCTACAGGGGCCAATGATGCAGGGATGGTCCTCAGCCTTCTTGGTGTAGGTTTCATAATGAACTCTCTGCAACAGAAATTTTTAAAAGTGTCAATTGTACAGTATACTGTATACAGGTGTTAAAACAGGTGTGAAAACAATAAATTTTTATATGGGAATTCAAAAAGAGACAATATACTTTACAAAGAAATTATCAGTTTTTTTACAAACACTTCAATGGTACAACAGTATCCATTATAATATAGGCACATTGTCTATCACCTTACAAAATAACTGTTGCATATAATTAAAATATGGTAATATGCATCTGACATAAACTCTAGAATATACAAAGTAAAGAAGTTATCTACATTGTTTGAAACTTTTTAAAACATGGTTTAACCAAAATATGTGAAACAAAATTTAACATACCTTTATGTGGGTAATGGAATTTGAATGTGACTTAGTGTTTCCATTTATCTCCTTAGGGCACAATTTGCACTGTGCTCACAGTCACATTTCCAGATGTTTCTTTAGGAAATTCAAAGACGTCATAAATCCAATGATTTGACATTTTGGTTAGAATACCAGCCAAACAATGATGTCTATCTTTCAGTTAGAATTTGGTTAACTGTATGGATTAAAACTTATTTCTTCATTGTGAGTGATGTATTAAAATGTCTCACTTGATATTTTACTACCTTAGTTAAACTGTAACATGTGAAATAAATCATTTGAATTTCAATAGTTTCATGTAAAATCTGAAAGTAATCAATATCAATCAAATTGTAATCATAATTACAGACTGAATTTAAGCTGTAATTGATTAATTACAATTAATGTAATCAATTTTGAGCAAGGTAATCAATTACATGATGATTACAATGTAATCATGTAATCAATTAAAAAATCTATGATTACGATTAATGATTACCCCAGGTCTGTCCTGGAACCAACCAGTACTGAGCAATACTGTAAAGTTTCTTTCTCAAGGAAACAACAGCTTGCCTCTGATGGGGTTCGCACCCATGTGGCTTATGATACATTAGTTACTAGTCTGACATATTAACCACTTGGTCATGCAGCCACATTTAATAAGGATTTGATATTATAACTTACATTAAAGTCATTTGCATAATGAAAACAATAATAATTGTTTAAGTTTCTCTATTCAGGCCTCAGTGGGTAAGCAGTTATAGTGGGTGATTCTGAATCACTTGTCCCTCCCTACAGTAGGTTCAAAATATGAATTCTTTATTGTGAGGAGTCTGTCCAGCTAGCTTACAGAAAGGCAGTGGTTCTTTTTAAGTGCTGGCTTGTATTGCACAAAGGAGCACCTAATTTCTTATTGCACAAGTAAAGCTTGTAATTCCTCATGAGACAATTTTATCAGTCCAAAATAAAATAAAAAAACCCAAAGATACATGTATAGATCAGTTTTTTTTTTAGAAAACACAATATTTATGATAAAATGTTCCAAGTTTACATGGATAAAGATCTAATTGATATTTCAACAATAGTTTTAGAGAACAAAATCTGATGCACAAATTATGTGTTAAACATTTTGCATGCAGGTTAAAATTTTCCAAGTAAACACATTTTACATATACATAAACAATGTAGATTGATATTGTATATTTGTAAGTTTGTAACATAGCATTTCCTTTGCCATAATGCTTTTTTCGAATTAATTACATGTAATAAAACCTCAGTTATTTCAATATTGAATTTGAAATTATTGAGGTTTTAATAGTTCATTCAATAAAAGCATTTTGGCCAAAGAAATGCTATTTACATGTTACTGTTTCATTATTTCAATAAATATAAAGGTGTCTTGCAAACTGATTTGTGTATCGCTCTTCTGTATCATGAAAAATATCATTTTGCAACTTACCTGGCAATACACAGCCCTAGTAATTAAAGATTTAACTCAGTACAGTGTTGGATCAGTACCTCTAGACACTTGCAGAAATTATGATCACAAAATAGACAAATATCTTTTTTTTCCACTTATTCTTACATTTTTCATTCATTTTTAGCTCGACTTTTTTTTTTTTAAAAAAAGTAGAGGTATTGTTATAGTCAGGTCGGCGTTGCCGTTGCCGTCTCCGTTGCCGTTGCCGTCCGAAAACTTGTACCTGGATCATAACTTTTTTATTTCTTGGTGTATTGTCTTCATACTTGGCCACAACAACCCTTGGGACAAGACCTTTCAGTAGACCACACTAACCTTGACCTTCATCCATAAATGACCTTGACCTTCAAGGTTAAAAGTCCAATTTTGCTTGTTCATGCTGTTATTGGCTATTACTTTGTTATTTTTGAATGGATTGTCTTCAAACTTGAACATAATAATCTTCAAGGATATCCCTTAAAAATAACCAGTCAGACCTTGACATTCACTCATCAATGACCTTGACTTTGAAGGTCAAATTATTGAAATTTAATTTTTTTGGCTATTATTGGCTGTAACTTTGTTATTTTTGAATGGATTGTCTTCAAACTTGAACATAATAATCTTCAAAGATAACTGTTAAAAATATACCGAAAGACCTTGACCTTCACTCATTAATGACATTGCCTTTGAAGGTCAAATTATTGAAATTTTCATTGTTTTGGCAGTAACTGACTGTAACTTTGCTATTTTTGAAGGGATAAACTTCATATTATAACAGAACATTCTTAAGGACCAGACCTTGTTGTTTATCAAACCCAAATTTGCTTGGGCTCTTTAATGACCTTGACCTTGAAGGTTA